CAAAAATATGCAACTATTATCATCAAAATCTTACTTAGAGTATATACATAATTAGGTAATGTTGATAACCCAATGTGTTATATTATCATAAATATTATAGTTTGCTTGCCCCCCCACATGCAGGCCAAGATTGATACTTTAACTGGGTTAGCTGGGTGGTTAATCTATAACAATTCATGATATTCTACAAGTTGATCATACTATGTTTTGCAAATAAAATCTGAATATCTTCAGTCACTCTCAAGCCAAGCTCCCTACGATTTATAATCATCCTGAAATGTAGTGAAGTAGAAGTATAAGGCAGCATAAATTGTACAAAACTGAACTACTTCAGTAAATTAACTGAATTACTCTCCATCACCGAGTGAGAAACAGAGAGAGAGAGGCACCTTAAAATGTAATGCAACCCAGCACAGCTACACTACAAACTGTGGCCTCATAAAATTGCTAAGGCATTTAATCAGCAGCCACAGTCGGCTAAGATCATGCATCTGTCTTTTCAACAGAAGCTTGTTGATACCAACAACTACTAAAAAAAAATTCAACCATCTGTGTAAAAACAGGTTTAACAGGTTTAATGCTACAGTATTACAAACATAGATGAAATTTAAAAAATGTGCAGGAAAACCTTTCCAGTGCAAATGACTAATGTGGCCTGACAAAAAGTAGAGAACTAATTTTACTATAAATCCTGTCCCTCAGGTTAGAAATATCTCAGCATAAGAGCTTGTCACGAAAAAAATATAGTCTGCCATTTTTGCAGCAGATAGTCTCTCTGAGCCAACAGTGTCTCCCAGTTTGAGTATCCCGGTAATGTGCTCGTTGGCTCATTGGCATGGCTCACTGTGACTCTTAAATGGAATGGAGCCATCATTAATGTCATTAGTCATACCTATGCATTTCCTACTGTGTCAAAAGTCAAGTCAAAATAAAAAAGATGCGTGTGTGTGTCTAGCCAACTCCGACAGAACCACAATTAATTGTGAAAGTAGTAAATCCAGCTCTAAAAATATCAATATTATATTTTCAAATCATGTTCTGACAGTGAACGTGTGACAGTGTCTGTGTTCCTGCGTCCAAACCATGAATGTATTTTTACATTGTGCTTCCTGAGTGGGGTACACTTCATATTTGAGCACTTATCCATAGAACGGTCCACTGTCTTGTTACCTTGAAGTGCACGAGGTGTGTGGCATATTCAGATATTCAGAAATGACAGTTTATGCTTGACTACTCACCCAGCTTAAATCTAATAATGGTTCCCTGTGGCTGCCAGAATGTACATGTTGTAAGTCTAATGGCATCACAGCAGGAGGCGACTGCATTATAGTAGAGAAGTAAATGTACCTGTGCTTTTAAATGGATGTGTGTGTGCAGGTTTATATCCCGAGCCAATGTGTCTATTCTGCAGATACTGTCAAACAAAATAGGCTTTTTTTCACTGAAGACACTTTGACTTGTCACAGAAGGTAAATTACAGGTGTGAATAATAAAGTTAATGATGGCTGAATTCTACTTAGTCACACTGTCATGGATTACAGGCACACTTGAATAGAACAGAACCATCATTATTGTTATTATAAATGACACCAGTGCTTTTCCTTTGATGACAAGTCAAAATTTCTGTCTTTTGATCCCAATTCCACTGCACAGTCTGATGAGCTAACACAGCCCTACTCACCTCTGCTCTTACAGGAAAAGACTCGAGGGAGTTAGATGAGAATATTGATACCACTTTCATATCTGTCCATCAGATTTAAGGCTACAGCCAGCAGCTGGTTAGCTTAGCTTAGAATAAACAGTGGAATCAGGGGAAAAAGCTAACCTGCAGTTGGCTGTGGCCTTAAAGTTAATGGATAGATATAATCTAATTCTCTACAAGAAAGCAAATAAGTGCAAAATGTATGGGACAATTTCTTGGCTGAGGTCTTGTTGACTCCATAGTCACTGTGCACAGTCAAGAAATAGTCCCGCATATAACCCCCTGCATAACACCAAATCCTGTTTTTACACTTCAGTTTTTGTATGCATTAAACAAATTAGGTATAAAATGTGAATCACCTCATCGTCAAATGCTGAAATAGAATTTGAGCATCAACACCCAATGCTGCACTCACTACTCCATACACAGTTAAATCTTCCCAATAATGTTGTAATCATATGATGATGGAAACCAACCATACTCACTTGAAACCCAATGCGTCAAAGACCGGTGTTTGTTGTTTTCTGAGAAAGGCAATCGGGCACCCACCAAGCAGTGAGACTTGCTGTAGAGAGACTGAAAAAGAATATTGAATTGTTTCTCGACAGCTCCCTGAGTGTCATCGTTCAGTATGCATGAGGCCTGCAAATAGCAAATGAGGTTACCATGCTAACTGATGTCCTTATATTGAATGCTGAAGCTATAGATTGAAAATAGTTCAGTAGTTAATCACAAGTTGTTGTAATGGCTAGATTATTGAAAATGAAAGGAGTCCACTGTTATCATAGGAGCATTATACAAACCTAATAGCCACCCTCTGTTGTTAAACACATGTTAATATCTCTAAAATCCACATGTAGTAATGTGTTCAGTTTAAAAGTGGATCATCCAAGAATCCTAACCCAACAACCACCACTGCATGCATGCCTTGATGAGAGAGCTGGCAACATTCATGTAAATACTACTTGTAGAGTAATATTACAGAGAAGACATACTCCACCTACTACGCCTGTTTTTCCATGATGTGTTGTAAAAAGATGTGGGATGGTTCACTGACATCCTTTACTATTAACCTGCTTATGTGTTATGATTTGTGATTAACAAGCTGAGACAAGATTGACGGATATTCTGTATCTTTCTATTCCATCTACGCCATGTTTGGCTGTATAAAGTGTTAATGATCATCAAAGTCAGGACTGTAAACATGTATGCAGAGACACAAACAAAATAGAAACATATGGCTATTAATATACAAAAAAAAAAACGTATTAAGGAATTGTCCAAGGGATACAACTAAAACCTAGACCCAGTTAGATTTTTCCAAATAGGCTCATTAGCATGACAATAATATAATGTTGGTCTCTGCACTATTGAATCAACATAATAAACTGGTGACAAAAGAATAGATACGCTTAATGTGAATGCACAAAGTCTATGTAGGGCTGTAACTACCCCCATCTCGAAAATCATTCTGTTTTGGCCATGTCCTCATGTGATGTCAAGCTCACCCTCTTAAGACAGTCCTCATCAGACCAGAATGAACCTGGCAGTGACAGTAATAAAGAGCTCCATCTGTGCCTCGCAGGCAGAGGCAAATGAACCAATAAAGGTCTGGTGAAGTCTCCTCTTTCACCTATTGGCAATGGCTGCCGTCATCTCCATCATGATGAAAAGGAGAGAGTGCAAGGGTAATTAAATACCAGCAGGGGCCAGGGGGCAAACCTAATAACTCTCGGTAACAAGCCAATAAGAGGTCTTATTGCTTAAGGGTTCACACAACCCAGAGCATGTTAATAGTGAAAAAGACCACTTACAGCACACAAACATTCAGATAGTTAATAGGCCTGCAGGCTCCTCAGAGAAAATTGACCTTGTGGAGAGATATCAGCAATAGCCCAGTGACAAAGTGCAAAAACCTCTTACGCCACCTTGTATCTGCCACAGTGATATCTTCTGGCTGAGTCCAATCTGGCTTTAATGTGGACTCAAATACACTTTGCTGGATATAAAGACAGCACTAAATGATCCCTGTTGTAGCATGTTGCCATCTGCTGGCTAAAGACTGTTTTTACACCAGGATTCTGCAGCATCTAACAGTACAGTGCACAACATATAAGTGATCTGCTGAATCTGCACTGAAATTTTTAAACATAAATTATGCTTGTATTTCACTGGCATGAGGCCAAAAGTCCTGTTAACTGTCAACATTATTTTCAGCAAGGTGCTCAAGTAGTGAAGTGTATCACATTAAGAAAAAGAAAAAAAAAGAAAAAGATTGGAAACTTACCAACCATAAATATGACATGCTATCTCATAATCTTAGATTTATGAGAAAACTATAGCAAAGGTTAAAGTTATGAATCATTGCAACCTGAGAAGACAAAGGCATTATGGCACTCCCCAATCTAATGCATTTTTATTTCCTCCTTGGTAGAGATATAAATGACACTTTCTATCCTAAATATCAATACAACAGCTTAATTATCAATATAATTAAGTAGGTTTTTCTAACAAAGTATTTTGGAAAATGTTATTAAAGGTTAAAAGTATAAAGTCTTCATTTGTGTGAACAGATGTAAACTTCTACAAGACACAATTGCCAATGGATTCAGAGAAATAGTTTTTTTTAGCCAATTATCTTTTTACATCTTGGAAATAAAAGTACAAATGATATAAAATAAGTATGTTTTATAAGGTTAAACTTGTCAGAATGAAGGCTATGGCCACAAATAATCTATTCTGAGTTAAATAACAGGGCAAATAAAAAAATATCCCACTATTTTCCACAAGGTGTCGACCTGATGTCGACCGGTTACGTCCCTACTTCTGCGTTCCTACGGCAACGCGTCGAAGCTTCCTCCAAGAGAATCATGGGAAACAAGTCTGGCTACTGAACCGGAGGGAGTTTCGAAATATTTCACGATTAGCTACGGTATAACATGTAATACCATAGTTAAATTATATTTTCGCAACCACCTGATGCTAGCAAAGCATGCGAGCATAGCTAATGTATTTGAAGTACCCAGGTTAGGCTTTTTTTGGGAGCTGTGCTCCTCGCTGTAAACAAAATGAGCTAGGTGGCTAACGCTAGTTAACGGTAACATACCAACGAATAACACTGGCTAAAAACACGGCACCATGCCGTGAACATGTAACGATTTCATTGTGTTTTTTAAAATGATTAGCTATCGTAACCTATATATTTATGTCGTCTTGCTTATCTAGAGGGATCCCGTGTTTTCTATCCACCCTTCCTGAATGCATAATTACGGCGAAGAACTGATGTGGTGTTGTAAACATGGAGCTGAAGTTGGAGGTTGTTTTGTCATCCAGCATCAAGAGGAAGAAACCATGGCCGCGTTTCTGCTGGCTTGGGCAGGTGAGTCGAGCGAAGTGTTAAGAAAAAGTATTTCAGCCAGTGACTCAAAAACTTTGCTATCCTTTGTCAGAAGAAAGTGACTAAATCTGTGTCATGTCACTCCCCAGGAGAAGGAGTCTGTGTTCCTGTTAGATGACAAACGGATCAGTGAGATCAACATGGTGTCTGGTCGAACCAAGAAGAGGACCCCTAAACTCCATCCTTTACTCAACAGTGTGGTGACCATGGCTTCATCCCACAATGGTGAGTTTAATGTATAAGGTCAAAGCAAAACACTTCTCACCTGACAATCTTGAGAGTACGTTTACACTTGTCTGTTTTTTTAAAAAAAATTTTATAGGCATTTGGCTTTGTGGACTTTTGGTCTCAGGAGAGCTCTTTCTGTGGAACAGGGATAAAGATTTGTTGAAGACTGCAGCAGCAGCTCTAGAAACAGTCCACATAATTACTTCTGGTCAAGGTATGCACAGTATGTATAACTGGTGTACACATCAGTCTTTTCTTGAACTGCATAGTTAGCAACAGGAGATTAGATCTGCAATAATCATTTCAGTACTCCTGTGAGACTTTAATATGCAGTCACTTGAAAGATGTTGGAGAGTTAATTCAACCAAGAGATGTACAAGTGCTTTGCATTCAGTATTTTAACCTGGATAATTCAATAGCAGCAGATTGCAAATTGGAGTTTTTAAGGTCATGTTTACAGTTTCTTTTTTATAACTTGAGCTGTAGAGACAGGATTCTAAATCCCCCTGTCTATGTTATATTTCACACCTAATTCACTGATATGTGTGTGTTTTCACAGGAAGTGCCACGCGGTTGTCTCTCCAGGTTTCAGGAGATGGGATGCGTGTCCTACTGGTAGCCATAACAGGGCAAGTTTTCCTGTGGGAGTGTTTGGATGTCAGGGATTTGACAGGAGTACGAGATGGCACAGTCAAGGGACAATGGTCTCATATACAGCCCCTTGAGGATACCATTCTGCCTTCTTCCCAAGACAAAGAAGCATCTCAACACACAATTTTTGTAAAGACAGAGGTCTGTTCACACAATAAGAGTACATGTTTAATATATTGTGTAGTGTTTCAATCAGTGGCACAATTTTACATCCTACAGACAAACCATTTCTTATTTTTCTACAGGCCTTACATCTCACTGTATCGTTTTCCAAATTCCTTTAGGTTTTGGGTGATGCCTGCTTATCAGCCATTGTTTTCACATCTGGAAAGAACCTAATCATCACCTGTCTGAAAGTCCAATGGGAAGAGGGCCACATGAGAGTGGGGTGAGTGAGCAGGTCTATGTAACGGTCAGGACCATTACTGGATATTATAGTAGTAAAAAGTATAAATTTCTCTTTGCAGTTGTATGGGATATAGTGTACAGTGGGCCACCAAGACATACCCCATGTCTTGTCTCACCCCCCCGTGCCAACCAGTGAAGTCAAGAGGGGCCTTGGTGCCAGCCTTCTCCCCAGATGGCAAACTGTTAGCCGTCGTCCTGAACCAGAGACAGCCAAAGGTGAACATCCTCACCCTCTTATCTCTGTTTTTCACATCTTCATCTGTTTCTTTTTCCAGGTTTATTCATTTGTATAAATGTGAATCAAGTTTTGTATTTCCTGTTTTTGAAACCAGGCTACACAGGTCCTCTTTGTGAGCACACAGAATTTTGTCTCAATATCAAGTAGCCTCGGGGGATGTGGAAGTAAAAAGATGGAGATCCCCTCTAAATACATAAGGTATAGTATGCAGGAGTAAAAATAGGAACAGGTGTTGTGGTCGGTGTTGTGCAATAGTCAGCCAACGAGAGGCCTAACCTGGGTGTCAACATCTGTGTCTGTACAATTATATCAACACTGTTATCTGTCATTGGAATTACTTTCAAATCTTTGATGTACAGTATGTATTTATTTAGAAAATAACTTAACATATCTTCTCTGTTAGGTCCTATTGGGTGGGCAGTGTGAGCTGGTCACCCAGCGGCCTGTTCCTGGCTTGTGTTCTAAAGAGAGGCTCCCTTCTTATGTTGGCTCGCCTTGGAGGGCTTCTCACTCTAACAAGCTCTGGTTGCAATATTGACTTAGGGCCTGCACAATTCCTACCCCTGCACCCTCTCGTCACTTACCGGTATACATCTGAGGCATTTTGCTCTTCATTTATGTCCCCTTGTTAGTTAGTTAACAGGTTAAGTTATCGATTTGTTTGAACTGATCTTCTTAATTATTACTTTCTTTCTCTCAAAGGTGGTCATCTTTTCTATTGATTTCTACACTTTTTTTTAGCAGGATAGTCATGTCAGTTCCTCTTTCTTATTATTTTATCCAAAGCATGAATCAAGTATAAATTCAGTGTGAAATGTGATGGTTTATTATACATAGTGTGAGTCTTATTTGCTCAATGTAATAAAAGTTTTTGTTTGTTTTTCCTCCAACTTTACTGTACTTTACTCTGCAGGCCACCACTGTCTGCAGGGAGAGGTGAGGCCTCTCTGTCCAGTTCTAGCTTGTCTGTGCGGGATGTTCTGAGGCAGCGATATTCTGTGACCTGGCATCCACGGCTGTTGTATCTCATTGTGTCTGATGGCTACATGGCCACGGTTATGAGGGTGCTCGATAGGCCTTCTCCTGCTGTGTTGCTGAAAACACTTCTCAAGGACACAAGCAAGGATCTTGAGAAGGCCAGCCGCATACTGGATAAATCACAGGTGACAAACCAGGGACTTCTAGAAGTAAGAATATCTTACTCAGCTTCAGCTTTTCAGGAGTATTCTTAACAATACGTCTTTCCTCACATTCATTATTTTCAGATTCATGTGAGGGCATGGCTGGAGTCCGTATCTTGCCTGAATCTTGACAGCAGCCTTGAGGTGCTCAACGCCACTGTTACATGTGGGCCCAACACCTCAGACTCTGTCTTTTCAGCAGCCACAGATAGATCCACTTTGCCAATTTTCCTCCAAGACAAGGGGACTCTTGCTGGAACCAAGGAGCTTCTTGAAAAAGTGCAGGTTGGTCACATGTTGTCAGCTAGGAAATTATAGCTTTAGATTCTATGTAAAAATACACTGCATCATTGCTGCTGTATCGCCTGATTCATTTATGTTAGCTGTCTTTGACTTGCTGTTTGATTGTGTTGTTTCCTAGACTTTCTTTGAGGATGACTCTGATTTGGATGGACCTCCCGCTGGTTCTCATGTGGAGGATGGCGGCCGTTTGGAGTTCGCCTCAATGTTTGACACACTCCACGCCCAAGACACACAGAATGACACTGAATTTGTTACTGGCCCAGATTATGAAAAGGACTTTGTTGAAACAGAGAGGAAGACTCCTCTTCTTCATCATGAACTTGGGAAAATCCAGAGTAAGCTGCTAACAGCCTGGGCTTTCAGCATGTCTCTAGGAAATGCTGTGGAACACAGAGCTCATCTACTGAAGCATACCCTCTATTGTGTGGTGCGATTTGCTGCTTTACTCCATTTGATACCCAGGGACCACACAGGAAGAAAGAATACCTCAGTTTCTGCTTGCCTCCTTCATCTTATCAAAGCTGTTCTATATTTTCTTCCCTGGGATAGCTCTCATTCAGATGGGCCTTGCTGCCTGGGGCTGGTAGTAGAGTTCAGTAAACGGCTGGTACGTCTCCTGCTGACCCCTCACCCTGAATCCTACCAGACCAGTCACTGTCAGCTCTCCTCTCAAAATCTATCCACCACCCTGCATATCTTGCAGCTGGTCTCTGATTCCCTTGACCACACCTACACCCTACAGCTAAGAACTGTCTGGTCCTCTGCAGAGAAAGAATCTCCTTCCCAGCCACCACAGCTCTGGCCTTCAGATGTACACTATGTGCCTCTGCTACAAGAAGAGAAGGAAAAGACACTCAGCTCGCTAAATCAGGCACAACCTGTTCCCCAGCGACCATCCAGCAGGTAGAGACTGACATTTTTGGCTTATTTTTCAGGGTTTATGGGCAAATAGTCAACTCTTTGTTGTTGTGGATGCCAGCCTTTAATAAACCCTTTTAAGATTGGCAGTTTTCTTTTTTGGCCAGATTGTTTGGAGTGTGGCAGTGGGTGTACCAGGTCACCCAGCAGTATCTGGAAGAACTGAACAGCTTCAAAGGCTGTGATGGCTGGGAGGAGGAACAGCAACAGTTGTCTTTCATCATGTCACAGATCCAAACAGCTCTGCAGGCTACAGGAGAAAGGCTAGAGGAGGGCCCTGCACTGCTGAGTTACCCAGGTCTGAAACAGATGGACTATTTATGTAACTATGTTTATTGTACCAGCTTGAATCACATTGAATGACATGGTGTCAAAACTCCACTGTCCACTGAGCCACATGTTCGTTGGTGTGACTTTTTTTTAATATGCCCTGTTTTATTGAGAATTGTCCACTTTAAAGCAAACTAAATACAAAATTGCAATAGAGTTATTTAAGTGGTTCAGATCAATTAGAAGAATAGCTATGTCGGAGTGATTACTGTTGTTGTTTAGTATTCCACTCTTCTCCCCCTAGGTGAACATCTTTTTCTGTTCGGGTTGTATCCAAAAAGTGCTGATGCTTGGCAGGCACAGATTTGTGAAGAGACTAACAAAAGTAAGAACCATTGCTTCAGTTTCGCCATTAAAGTACACCGCATGTACGCATTCAGTCTGAAATGGTAATCCTTTGTCTTTTTATTAGGTTGTGATCGTAGCGTCTTCCAGGAGGCACGGATTTGTCTGGCACTCCTATACAGTCTCTTGTCCCAGTACCGTCTAAGGGAAGCCCAGGAGTTGGGGGACCACATGGCTCATCTAATACTGCACAGGGCTGGACACCAAAGGGACAACATGGCCTGCATAACAGGTCAGCCATGGTCAATAACTCCTCTGTCTTTTATGGGGGGGTTCAAATGAGTCAGTTTATGGAATGAAGTTGTAAATAGCTAACATCTCGCCCTTGCCTGTATGATTTAATTAAACGCCTTATTAAGATATGACACGCAGTCAAAAAGGTCATGCTTTAGAGCTACAGAGTATAAATTCGCTTTTATTTCTCAGTGATTATACAACAAACAAGTGTACCTCACAGTGAAAAAAAAGATGTGTTGGTTATTAACCCTGCCTTTGTGTCTTGAAGCAGACTCTCTTCCTTGCCCGTGGCTCCCGATGGACCTTCACAGTGACACAGCCTGTGCAGTGGTTCAAAGCCTGGGAAGATTCATGGCCTCTTACTTCACCAACCAACCCCTCCACATCCTGCCCCCTCACAATGTGGCTGTCCTGCCTCCACTACATTTGCCACATGGTATGTTTCCAGAAATTATTTAGCAGTTAAAAAGACTATTTCTGAATTAATATTGATAATTTGGTAATATGTCTTTGCTCAGCCCCCAATGTTGGGCGCTTGGTGCCACTGGGCCAAGAGGAGGTGGCTACAGCAGTTCGTCGCCAGCAGCTGTCAGAAGTATGGACAGTGGAATACGCCCAGGATCTGCTCCTGCTGGGGGGTCTGCTTCCTGAGGCTGTGTGGTTGGCTTACCATCTTGGGGACTGGAAGACAGCGGTGTCTCTGAGTCTGGCCTATTCAAGCTATTGCACTGACCACTTGGACTTTGCAGGGTCAGTGTGAAAGAAAGCATACAGTATTATCAGGGAGAGAATAAGTGTATGGTGCAAGTTCTTTTTTACCGTTGCCAGTGCTGGAATATATTAAATCTGATTTCAAACTTTTACCATATTTGTTTATATGAACATGCCGTGACATCTTTCATGACAGGCTGAGGAGGAAAGAGCTCCACCTCCCAACAGTTTTGGAAGCAGAAAGCATTTTTCAGGCTGAGTTGGAGTGTCTTCTTGGCCATAAGTCTGACTCCCAGGACCACACAGACAGTGAAGGTGACAAGAGCTTTACAGGTCTGTTGGACCTGACAACTGTAAGATGACTACAACACTCATAAAACCATTTAGTTTTAATCTATACCTTGTCTCACCTCCTTTTACCAGACCCTCTGGAAGGAGAAGACTGGGATTTATTGCAGGTTTCCATACAGGAGATTCTGAAAGCATCAGTCGTGGCTGGAGTAAATGTTATGTCTTCACCCTTGTCTTCCTTGCTGGACAAAGCCAAAGACTTGTGTTCCTGCCTACCTATGTTGGTGCCTAATGGACTGTATCTACCTTCCCCACCACTTTATTGCCCTCAGCCTTCCCCCAACACACAGGTACATGAAATAGAAGATCAACTTCTACCTATGTTTACATATAAATCGTATAATTAAATGTTGTGTGTGTCTCATTCTTAGGACCCGATAGGGACCATGGGGCAGTTTGCAGAAGTTGCATCTCGTCACAAAGTATCAGGGGTTCTCCAAAGATTACTTTTACTTCTGAGATCTGCTCGTTGTTGTCATCCTGCTGCCCAGTGGTACATCACCCATCTGCGCCGTGCCAGGCACCTACTACACAAGGTACTTTAGAGGACTGCAGGGTTTTTTGTGTTTAAATTACATTTTACTGAGAACAGCTGATTGTGTTTCTTGGTTTACAAAAGATGCAATGCCAAGACTGTTCCAATGAAACTCCAAATTATGCTTGGTTGTGTCCTGCAGAATAGATTAGCTGTCACTGTTCCAGCACTCAGCAGTAATATCCTATACTGTTAATATCACTTCATCTGGTGCAAACCTAACCATAACCAAATCAACCAAACTTTAAAAGTTGGTGATTGCACTTTGTCATGAAGTGCCAGGCCATTTTAGATAGTGGAAAAATCTGATGTTGTTTTCAGATCAAGAAGAAGTATTCATATCCAGCAGCTGCTGAAGAAGAGAGGGCTTTCCCAGAGGGCCTGATGAAGTTTGTCACCCGCAGTGGATTCTTCAAACGAGGGCCTAACAAAGATGGTCACTTGGACTCTGATACCATCCAAACTATTAGTAAGATGCCACGTGCAATGTGGATATCATAATCAATAATCAGTTTTCATATAGTAATTATAAAATGCATTTCTTCCCCAAGTCTGTTTCAGGGAGCTGTGTGGTTTATGCTGGATGCTGCATGTCAGGGACAGACTCTCCATTTCCTGCAGGAAGTATCAGGCTGCCAGACAGCATGGTAGAGATGAACAGGTATTATATTTGTGTTTGAGTGTGTGACATATTTCTGTAATTATGCTCAGCTGTTGATATCCTGTGCGTATGTTTGTGTATTTGTGTCCCACAGATCCCTGTTGACTCAGAAGTTAGAGCGAGCTGCATTGATGCTCTCCACTGGGCCTGTCGTTTTCTGCCTTTCTCTCGTTTCCTCAATGCTGAAGAAATTCTCCAGGACATCCTGCTCAGCCTTGTGTCTGAACTACCTCCTGTCTCTTTGGTAAAAATGACTTTTTCTTGCCTTTTCTTACATAAGCAGCGTTTATTAAAATAAAACTCACTAACTTTGTGTGTGTACATTTCTCCTCTTTGTCTGTTCTTCTTCTTAGGTGGCAGACACTCTGGTACGAGCCTTCCCGGAGGAGGAAGAGTCTGTCAGAGTCCCGCTGAGAGAAAAGTATAACTCAGTGCTGCAGAGACTGAGGCAATGCAATGTCCTTGGTATGAATACTTCTGTTCATTAACAAGTTACTTTGATTGCAGTTTTTTGAACACTGATCATTTTTTACTTATATCTTTTGTTTAAATTACCTGATGGCTACATTTTATTATTGATTCTTCTTTTTTAACTATTAGAATCTTTACCTATATGAGATGTATGCATGGCAATGGCGATGAATGAACAGTCCATTTGTGACAGCCCCAAAGATATGTAATCGTTTTTTTCGTGGTTAGTGTTGATAACAAACAGTATGATCACTGTGTGCTAATTATACAAGTGCTCTCAAAATCTTCAAAGCTTTGTGTATTAATTTAAATGAATACATAAACAGTGATTTTGCATGACATTATCCTATTATATAGAGGGGATTGTGCCGTAGCTTAGCAACTAAGCTGTCTGAGGAGCTCAGACTTACCAAATCATTACCTTCTTTTTAATCACAAACTAATTTGTATCGGTAAGCCTTTGAATAACTGTGTAATAAGTGTGACATTTTTATGTTTTATATGCTGCACTTTATGATATCTATATCTTCTATATGGTACTTATGCATTTTGATTTTAGTCCTCTCTTTCTTGTGTTTAAAGCACTTTGTATCTTTGTATTCATTATCTATGAAATGTCACTTTATGTCATTCTGTCTTTTCTCTTTCTCTAGAAGAGGAAAAAGAGGAGGTGAATGAGTTGATGATGATTCTGATTCAAGACAAACACAGGCAGAGGAGAAAACATCTTGGGCGTTTGCGGAGGCACCTGGGCCCCCCTGAGCTCCATCTGTGGGAGAAAGAGGAGGAAGAGGACGACAGGGGAGGCAAACACGGGATGGCCATATTGAGGCAACTGTCACTGGGTACAAGTCTGAGCACCAGCACTTTAACCGACTGTGGGTTTCCCTCAGTGTGCAGTGATGGAGACACAACAGAGAATACATCTGAGGCTATCTCCCCTGAACAGCATTGCCAACCCATGACCAGGTAGCCCGTGTGGAATAGTAGCACTACTATCACTTTGAGGTATCATCTATTCTGTGGCTTATTCTATGCTCTGCCTTTTTCTTATCAGGGACAAAAAAGCAAAAAGAGTGAGAGACAGAGAATATGCAAAGAAGACTGCTGTTAAGATTGAAAGTGCCATTCAGGAGGAGACTCAGCCAGACGATGACAAAGGGAATGAGAAGTTCTCCCTCCCAGTGGTTGGCACCTGGGAGTTTGAGCTGGAAGATGAAGAGTATCTAAACTTCCTGGAGCTCTTCCTCAGCTACGTGTTAGAGAAGGATAGTGCCGATGGAGGGGACTCAGGCAGCGAACTTCCTTTGTTGAAGGGCTTCTCCTCCCAGCTGAGGGAGAGAGAGTTGCATTCTCTCACTTTTGATGTGCTCACAACTATTCACCGCCGTCAAAGAGATGGGCACCATCCAGGGAGAAAACACTGGAGCAATGACCCTCCAGTGTTCAGGGCTGGGTGCTGCTACAAGCCTATTAAACAAGGTGCAACACCTGAGCCACAGACGTCTTCCATCTGGAGTGAAGCCCCCATATCCAGAGCTAGCCTTTCTGTCAGCTCTCTTCCTGGGCTGAGAACTGGCAGGCAAAAAGGTTTGTTTGGCCTCCGACAGCAAAGCAGTGTGCCTTTAACCCAAAGAATGAAAGGAGGCCACTCAGGTTCTGAAACTAGCCCTTTTCAAAGTGCCTTTCCCATGGGGCAGCCATCAGAGAGCTTCATATTTGGCTCCTCAACTTCAGTGGAAGCTGTAACTGAACTGCAGCAGGGCCTTGACCCTAAATTAGAGGCTCAGTTTCCAGAGCTGGGCAGGCTGCTGGAATGGATGGTACGTTGGGCTGATCGGAGGATGCTACTGGGACATCATGGCAAAAAGAAGAAAGAGAGGGGAGGAGGGGTTGGAGGAACAGCCGATGAAGGAGTAGTGATTCGAGTCAAAGCGTCAGCACCTGCTGTCCTCACTGCCCTCAGCTTACTGGAGTGGAGGTACACTGCTCTACTCACGTCAGACCACTACAGTGCCCACATCCAAGTTCCAGAAACACAATGGACTGTAGTCCCTGTGCTGCAGCCTGAGGTGGACAGGAAGCTGGAGAGAGAGAGCAGTGTTGATACAGGTTACCCTGGGTCAGCCAACACTCCCATCACTGGTCTTGATCACAATGTACAGCAAGGAGAACTGTCCATGTGAGTGCACCATGTGAGGTTTATCAGAGATCTTGAGATTTCATATGCTAAAAATATAAATCTTTGTTCAAGAAGCACAAATTGGTATGTCAGTAAATATCACTAAAATTGAACATATTGTGGTAGCAAAGTAGCTGCATAAATAAAATGTTGAATATGTTTCGTATTTACTGATTCGATAATTTGTTTCTTTTCATTTTACTGTTCATATGAAGAATCTACTGTATTTATATACTATTTGTTTCCCTGCAGTGGCTCTTGCACAGATGATCCAGAGGAACTGACATGTCACAGGATGCCTCCTCCTAATGACCAAGATCAACTGAGTTTTGCTGCTCAGCAGAGATGTTCCAGTTCACAAAAACCATCTCTCTGTGATTTAGATGTTACACCTGAAAAAGAAGGTATGATGATAAATTATATTAGATCGTAAAAGTTGCTGGTGTGCAGACCTTTATGACAGAGAATATACTGTAAATTGATGTCTTTGATATTTTTAGGCAAAAGTAGTGACAGTGAAGGATTGGAGGTGTCATCCTCTGTTTCCCATGGACACATCTCTGAAAACATCTGCACACCTGAAAGGGTGAATATTACTATTCAAGATTCCCATTCTTAATATGAATCATCAAGGTTGTCAAAACACAAATAACTGTTATTTTTGTCCTTTCCAGAGTTTAAAGCTTGCAGACCTGGATGTCTCAGAAAAAGCTGAAGATAAGTCCAGTTCTATCTCTCTGTGAGTTTTTAATGTTGCTTATTTAAATCATTTACTTTTGAAGAACACGTGAATGTGTAAAGTTTTTTTTTGTATTGCAGTCGATCATGTTATATATACATATATATATATATATATATATATATTGTAGTGTAAACTATAAAAGTAGAAGTTATTGAGTTATTTATAAATTAACAATTTGTTGGTGGAGCCACAGCTCAAAATATGAATGCTGAAATAGTCTGTTTTGTTGTTCAAGCCACAGTTTTTTTTCTGTCATCCTAGAAGTCTACAAGCTCCTCCACACCCAGAGCCCCAAGCTCTTCTTATTGTCCAGCCTGAGGCCTCGGTTCACACAGAGCATTCTGATTCAACTGGAGTGCAGCTCCCCAATACACCTATAGATCCTCCAAGCCTTCAGCCACAAAGCTCCACAGCTGGTGCACCCACTGCTTTTTCTACAGCCCCCAGTCAACCAACATCCTCTCAGACTCCACCAATGAGACAGCGACTGGGTGAAGACTTATTTAGATTGGTTCAGGTAAGACTAGACTGACTGAAAGGAAAGGTTCACTCTCACCTGTCTCTAATGATTGACTCTTACTTGATTTGTTTTTGTTGCAGAATATCAACTACATGAGCCTCATGGAGGTTTTGGGAGCATCTTTTTCCAACCTGCAACTTGCCCAGCAGAGCTCTTCTTTGGCTCAGTCTAACATGAACTCCTCACATCCAAATGTGCCATCATCTCATGTAACCAATTTCATCCCTGAACCAAATGCCCTACCTGTTCAAACTGCCATTTCTGTGTCACAGCAGACACAGGCAAGTATGCCAAATTCAGGATTCAAGAACCCTCACTTCAGTCAGGCTGCTGCATGTCTGTTTGCAGACCAGCCTGCTGAACAGAGCTTAGGGAAAATCTCTCCAACAGCTGGCCAGTTTCAAATCACAAGGAATCTACCCTCCACTACCAGTGGTGCAAGTGTAAATTATCAGGTATTGGTCAAATGTATTGTTAAATTGTGATTTTTCTGTGCAAACATATCTACATCATAGTGACATCAAGATAAATACAGTTTCTCTTTTCTTCAGGAAATGCAGCCACTCTTGGTTCAGGCAGAGTCACCAGAAATCCAGTTTATACAGAGCAAGAGGTTAATCCCATCCTCCCAGGGCCTCCTGGCCACTACTCACGTCAGTCACACTGTTCCCAGTTCTCCTGTGGTGCTGCCTTCTAATGGTAGCATACAAAAAGACCCTGCTTCCCAGGTCTCGGGCCTTAAGTTACTGCAGCTCCAGCGTCCTCCATTGCCCCAGCAGAGTTCCCCACACTATCCTCCAGCCCGAGGGCCCCAGACGCTGCACACTGCATATCCTGCAACTCTAGAAACCCATCAGCCCAAGCTTAAACACAATAGCCAAGCTGCCTCAAAGAGGAAGGAAGAAGAAAAAAGAAATGGGTCTTCAGTTCCAAGAAGACAACTCAGTTTTAATCATCCACATGATCCATCTCCCTGGAACTCTCAACCCCAGATTCAGACATCAGAGAGGTCCAGGGGGCAGGAGTTCTCGTTTCTTCCTTCTGCTTTACCAGCTCACACACCTGCACCAATGCAGGGCCTTCGCTTGCTGCACTTTCAGCCTGTTTCACACAGCAACATCACATTTCCTAAACTGCCCTGCCCATCCTCTTCTCGGCCCTCTACTGTCATTACAGCTCCAATGGGAGAAACACCTCTGATCAAGCTTCTACATATAGAGTCTGGACCAAAAATGGCAAGCAATACGTTTATTACTTCTAGATGTTTAAATTAGGTGATGTGTAAATTAATTGACTTGTAGTTTATGTACAGATATCTGTCTCTACAACAGATTTTGCCCCTAGCTACTCCTTCGAACCAAATGACCCGTCTCATGTCCATGGAGGAGTTGACAAGTTCAGTGATCAGGAGGCAGAACGCTGAAGAGGCTCAGTTGCGGTTGCTCAGAGTGGACCCACCTACTGAAAACACTAGAGCAGCTACCACTTCTCCCAGCTCTAAGAGGCAATCACATATATCATTAGTGATGTTATTGATTGTAATTTTCGTGATGCCAATTATTTAACACACTGTGCTTGCTGTGTGTTTATAGGCAGAGGAGGAGAGAGGTGAAGGAGAGGAGGGAAAGAAAAACAGAGGTCACGTTCAGACCAAATGAGTCCATCATCCCCGTGCGAGAGGTTGAACAATATTCATTTTAGTAAGAAGTATTTCGTACCTTTAACAATACTACATTGTTATTTCACTATCATTTGTTTGATCTGATATGTCTACAGCCAACTGATGGGCCTATAAATGAAGAGCCTACAGTTGCAGAGGAGATCACCCCTGGACACGACTTTGCCATTCCTCTCGGTAAGTCTCAAATACATTCCTGATTACACATATCTTTTCCATGGGTCGAGCAATTACTGTGTATTCAGATGTTTTAGGTCCCAAACTGAAAAGGTAGAAAAAGCAACTAACTATATCCAGTATGTTGCCAGTTAATAGATTAGTAGTTGACTGATAGCAAAAGAAAGCAGTAAAAAAAAAACAGTGATAATTACCAGTGCACTTCATTGTTTTGTTATATGTGGAAAATCCAAGACAAACATGCATCACTGTGTCTCAGAGGAAGAACCAAGATCTGCATTCTTGCAGTTTTGAATTTACAGTGATTGAATGAAGAGGCGGTGGCACATTGCCCGTTTAACTGCCTGGACCTCAGTTTCTTTGATGGCTCAGCACTGATCACTTTCTGATGAAATGCAGATGACTTAAGTTTCTCTAGAACTTCCTCCTGCCATATTAAGCTTCAAGATAATTAAAAGAGCAAAATTAAATAAAGTAGATTGAAGTAATCTCATTTGAATTAGCAATGGAATTAAAGGTCTATTCTTTTTCATAGCAATTTATCCCAATGGCTCTTTGTCTTACTGTATGTGTGTTACACACAATGTAATGTAGTTCTTAATCAGACAAATGGGTAGATTGCAAGGGCGTGTTTACAATTCTATTGATCTGTTGTTTTTTCTCAATGAACTTCAACTTCAAGGATCCTTTGACTCTTTGCTGACTGGTCAGAGATTATTGGACAAGGCCATGTCCACTTCAGCTGAGCTTCATGCCTTTGCTTCCACATGTAAAAGACCCCCAGAGTGCCATGATGCTTTCACCAACACAGACCCAAGTATGTGAGGGTTTTTAGAGTGTTAATATTGTAATAGTTTTGCACAGTTATAATGTTATCACACAGTTGCTGTATTGGTAATTGAATGAGAATGTTGTGTAAATGGATTTAGCTTTTTTGGTCAATCAGAAATGAATAACATAAATTGAATTGGCCTGTATTCAATAAAAAATATAGTGGTTGTTTTAAGTGCATGATTTTTAAAACCCAGATTCTGTAGTATGTTGACTATTTGTCTTTCAGCTTCTACCCCCACACGCGTGGATAAAGCTGTGTCTGCCTCTGTGACCACCAGTAGCCCTAAATGTAAGTTGATCTGAATTTGTATGTACTTTTCACTGCTTTTTAAAAAAAAAAATGTGGATACAATGATGAGTTAAACATTGTGTGTATGTGTGTTTTTTCCATGCAGCACAAAGTTCACAGAATTTCCAGGTTTGTACTGAACATCCTGTTCAAGACACAGGGGAGACCCCAAAGAAAGCTGAAAAGATTTTGGTAAGAGGCCAGACATGAAGGTGGACTCAGCACTATTTATTAAGCAGTACAAGTTTTGGGGGCCTGTGCATGGTTCTTTTAGACTCTAAATCTGTATCTAAGTAGATCATTCCACTTAATTAAATTGTATAATGACCATAGCACAAATACTAGTGGTGCCTACCATTCAGTATATAGGATACAATATGCCTTTTTTACAAAACTAACTGCCTTCTAATATGATCCAGTGGAATTTGAATTGGCAAACACCAACTGCCCCAGTGGCTATATTATTGTCAAATAATCTATATGATGTCCAGAGAGGTAGAGAATTTTGGCATGTTTTTTTATGAACTGACCATGGTCTCCACACTTCATATTTTCATATATGCTGTATGCAGACTCATAACTTTTTATTTTAAACTTGCATTCTAGCAAGGGATTACTTTAATCGATGGATATTATAATACACTTCTCTGTGTTTCTTGGCCTTTGTCTCAGGATCTGCATGGCCACCAGTTCATAAGTGTCTTGGATCTAGAAGACGAAGCGCTGCACCATGATTTGCCGCTGTGTCTCAGCCCAGAAACACAGGACATTCCTCCCATCCGCCCATCTTCGCCTACTTCTGCTGATCTTCATGTTCTTGCAACTTCTGTTATTTGGAGTGCTTCTGCTGCTGCTGACCCACAGCCCTCCATCTTAATTACAGACAATCTCCTGAAACCCACCAATCACCCAGGTCTGATACTTTTATGTCTTTATAACTAATATGATCAGACATGTGGTGAAGCACGACACTATTTGTAAAATTTGGTCTAAATATTTGTTGCACTGTGTTCTCTAGAAATCCCTGAGGATACTCCATTACTCAGCCACATTGAGCCCAGTACGTATCCAGAGAGAATCACTCCACAAGACATGGCAGATCCATCTGACTCTGAGATCTGTCAAGCCATAAGGACGCAGAGTGTTGGACCTCACAGAGCCTCCTCGTCACCTCCTGCAGTCTGGTTCTCCTCTCGCCTGTCAGAGATGGACGCCCAGTTGGCTGCACTACAGAACATTGCAGACCATCTGGAAATGGACTTTTCCAACTCCAGGATGGTAGTATTATTATATAAGCTGTTTATAGCTTGTTTCATATTCATTCTATTTATATTTTTAATGACACCCAAGTTTACAGATTGGCTACTAAGGCTGACAAATGTCTGTATGTAACAGATAGTTACTTGTCTTACTATGTCGTAGCTGGTGAACACCATTGAAACGCTCACCCCAGTCTTGGCTCCTGATGTGAAGAGTACCATGGCAGTAAAAAAAACCGTCAGACTGTCTGTCCCACGTGAAGGTGTGCCTCCAAACACTTCATCTATATAGAAAGCCAGAACTGCATTGTATTTAAATTGCATTGAAATTCACAAGTAAAAGTTAAAGCTGTAGTAGAGTAACAAATGACACGGTAACATTGTTTAAAAAACCTTGATAATGTCAGGTGTATATTCTCTGTCTGTAACAGCTTGGACACCAAGATCTGACATTTTAATGGAACCCAAAGCCTGTGAAGAGGAAGAGGAAAATCAGCAGGACAAATATGTTCATAGGGACTCCCGCACTCCAGAAAGAAAGCCTACTTTTCGTTATTTAACTTCTCCTCACAGTCACACAGCTGGTCTTTCCTACCTTCACACCCCTCCAAGTAAAGATGCAATTTGTTCATTTTCTGAAAAAAATGTTACTACTTTAAACTACTTACTTATTGCATTTATATTTATTATCTAGTTATATAAAAAATATGGTACTGTTAAAAGCAATGTAGACTACACATTTTCCAGGTTTGGCACAGTAACACTCCTGAAAGGCACCTGGAAATTAAAATAATGGACAACATTTTTCAAATGGGATTAAAGCTTAGCCTAGCTTAGTTTATAACTCTTGTATTTGATACTAGAAACAATACTAGAAAGTCAGATGACAAAGGAACTCTTAAATCCTCAAGTCAGCTGTTTACTGTTTGACTTCAGAGTGATTTTAATTGATTCTTTATTCTTCTATAGTCAGATACATTGTTATTTTTACAGTACAGTTGTGATGTTAAAAGTTACTATTTCATCTGTTTAATGTATGTGTTTCTCCCACGGAAATGACAGATCAGTTGAGCGAAGCATCTGGAATATCTCATGTGTAAGTTTAAATTAAAACTGAAGTCTTGTAACCATGTTGTGACTTACATTATCAGTTATGGATCTCCCATTTCACAATACTCTGCCCAATCTCTAGATGGGAAGATGAGAATCTGGGACACACCGGGCTATCGGATACAGCAGAAATCTTAGATGAGTTGGTAAAGGAAGGGTATTTATCCCCGACTGACCTGGATTTGTCCACTTCACACACCGCACACTATAGCAGGTATGGTGCCTTCAAAAAATGACTGCTAAACAAATAACTACTTAAACAACTATGAGTATCCCTGAGCTGAAAAGTAATGTGACCCACAGCAGGCTGGGTCAGCAGCAAAGTAGCTGGATGTCACAGAGAAGTGTCCTTCCAGAGGATGAGAGGCGAGAGCTGAGGATCTGGATGAGAAGGAAACAGAGGGAAAGACTGGCTGTTTATCAGAAACACAGAGAAAGCCTGAGGGAGAGGGAGCATAAGCCTTTTACTGCCTCCGCAAAAGTGGTGAGATATGGTTGATTTTTTTTACTAGAATTGATAGTTCATTTTAAGCTTGTATGTTTTTTAACATTACATCCACATCGTTGTTTACCTGCTACACCCCCTTTTTCTACAGAAATCAACAAACAGAAATCAAGCAACCATTTGGGAAACCAGAGAGGAAAAAGAAAAGTATGTACCTACTTGCATTGTCTGTACACAGGAGACATGCTTGTGTAGGAATGTAAAAGCTATTTGCATTTGGTTTTAATAGGTTCATGCTTCTTGAGCAATACAACCAGAGGACCCGTGAAGCTTGTTCTTTGGCCAGTGACTTCGCCACTTCTACTCAGATCCTACGCAGTTCTTCACAGCCTGAAGGCCCTCCATTACCTTCCATCACACGGTCCACCTCCACTCCACCCTGTGGCAGCAGGTACCATCTGCCACAGTAATCTGACCAGTCTCTTGTCTCATTAAATAGTAACTGTAATCCGATATAGCATTCAAACTAATTATTAATCATTCATTAATTATTCTACAATGATCAGAATATGTACAGACCCAAGCCTGTTTTACATGTTTAACACCTAGATAATGGTGACCTGGTACCTGGTAATGGAGGTAATATCTTTTTCTCAGGCCTTACAGTGCACCTGCCAATGATAAAAGAAGTCTTAAGTCCCAGTCAGGACAAACTCAGCCCCGCCTTCGTCCATGGACTGCTGAGGTACAGGCACGGCCTTCGGAGGATCACAGCAGGAGACTGGGACTACATAGACCAGGTACTGTAATGAGATTGAACTAAACTGATTTGTCACCTGTAAAGGATACATACTTTGATAAATGTTTTTTCCACTTAATGCCATGAAATATAATATTAAATTAGACTAAACTTGTTTATGTTGTCTGATTTTTGGTATCAGTTACCTCTCTGCCAAGAGACCGTCTGTCTCAGGTGACCAGACGTGGCATGCTCAGTGACACAAAGAGCCACACTAAACTGTTCACGGAAAGCCAGAGTGAGGAACGGCATGTCGAATACCAGAGAAAGACTCATTTGAGCAAAAGTCCGTCCGGGGGGACTGCTGTAGGGAGAGGAATCCAGAGGGAGGGGACAAAGATGGAAGACAGAGAAGAGGTGAATCTTTGGGAGCCCACCTCAAAAGTGAATAGGCTGCTGGACCTAGAGGAGTCAGAGTCTAACATAGTAAGAATCACATATTTCATCACACATTAGCCTAGCCATTAGCCTTATCTGAGAGGAATGTTGCATTTACGTGAAGTAACAGTAATCTTACTTGCATGGTACACATGAAAATACCATTTTGTAGATGACGTGGTTTCATGTCTGGTTTCATACATTGACATCCATACATCTTCTCAGGTTTTGGCTAGGCTGTTGGATGAGCAGGATGGTGGTGCCAGAGCTGGTGTGTCAGGGATGGACTGGCTGGACAACCTGTCGGAGAGCGCCAGCAGCAGCCTCAGCAAAATAGACTGGGCTGCTATCGAGAGGATGGTGGCTGGAGAGGAAGCTTGAGTTTTAGTGTATCGAGGAAAAGCATTGATATGTTGACAATGAAGTATATGGTATATGACTGAAAATTTTTTTTCCAAGATTGTTTGTGCCTATTAAATATACTGTAAATCAGAAGCATTGTAAACTGTGATAATATAAATTATAATTTAGTTTAATTAATTGGATATGAGTAGTAGGGATATTAAATATGTCAAGACATGATTGTTTTTTTTATTTGTAAAGTAGGCCTAATATATATTATATGTAATGTAATCACTTTTATTTTCATATATAATTTGAAATATTTGTTGTACTGACATCTGAAATGATGTCCTCTTTTTGAAAATGTATATTTCTGCCATGTCTGTGTGTATGTGCAAAGTTTTCTAGATTTATAATTTATTTTTCTACAGACTTGACGACCCTACAAAGTATCTGAATAAAAACATTTTAAAGCAGTTTCTAATCATTTTCATTGTTGAATTGTAGCCTGAGAGAGCTCAGGTACATGTGAATCTTTATGTTTAATGTTTGACTTACTTTATTCTTAGTTTGAGATATGTGTAGAATATGATATGTGGTAGTTTTCCATCCCTTTCTACTTGTTGATTTCAGCACCAGATGTTCAGTGCTGTACAGCTTCCCATCCAGAGCCTGGCAGGGATACCTGTCATCAAAATAATCTCACAGTTCTTTGATTTGATGCAGAAAAATAAATTTGATGCATAGAAAATTTATTGATTGCTTTTGCAGTAATTAAATATATGCTTAGAATACATTATACTTAGAATACAAACATGATTTCTCTACTGATATTTAATTTGTAATATACAAATGTTTGTATTTGCCTATTTTACATTCTGGCCAGTAGATATCGTACTATTAACATGAAGCAACAAGAAATTAACCTTAAATTCAGTGCATCACGGTGCATCATTAAGCTTCATCTTACTATTACTATGTAAAGGCCTTCACAGCATTTCTCTAAAATGCCAAAATGAACTTCTATAAAGAAAGCGTCCTGCACAGCGCAGGCGCGGCGCTACTGGAAGAACTTCCGAGGTCAAAGGTAACCGTCGTATTTGAAAACATGGATCCCAACAAAGTGGCTGAAGGTAGCAACATTTTGTTGTCACACGTCTATAAGCTTTGTAAACTAATTTTACACAACTTAAATGTATGTGCCGTTGTAATGTGTGTATTTCCAGTTTGCTTGACATTTATCAGTTAGCTACCTTGAGTCAGTATGTGTAAAGAAACAGACCTCGTTGCTGTTTTTGCTAGCTTATTTGTTAGCAAACATTTGTTACCAACTGTACTATGTAACTGTAGTTAGCTACAGATTTAACTTATTGTTCTATTGTTATGACCACACGTTAAAATGATGCAGCATCGTTAGGTAAGGCTCAATATTTTAACATTTTCTCACATAACGACGTTGACGAATGTCAGAATCTTTTTGGTTGTGGGTTTCGATAGAATCAGATGTTCAAGCGCAGGTATACTAGCCTATAAAAAAAATTGGGGGGCCATGTGGTATGAAGTTAGATGTATTCAATCCACCGTGTTTTCTTGGTCTATATTTGTCTACATACATCTAGCTACATGAAGCTTATGACCATATGTAGCCTGTTGTCATATTCTTACGTGTGGTGTTGCCGGACCAATAAACCTTTTTATACTGTCATTTACGTGTTTTAAGCTTTCACAACTCCATAGCCTACTCAGTATTTTTACACGCTTTAGAGTAGAATTACTTCTCAAGGGGCCACTGAATTGTGCTTGTAGTTGAAACTGATTCACTTACAAAAAAAAAAACATTCAACAGAGCTACATCCTGTATTTTTAAGCATTAATTTGAAAAGCAAATTGTCATTACGGTTTTCATTATAAACAAGATCACCTAGGCTATGATAACCACTGTGCTGGCCTCATTTGCAGGATCGGCCAAGATGAGTGATGGAGACATGGCATCTGTCATGGGATTCTCTGGGTTTGGTATGTGCAGTCCAGCACAAATACTGAACTATTTGATATGCTTACTTCATTTCTTATATGATAAACTGTCAGAATGAATCACAGCAGTCATTGTTCCTTCCAGGTAAAAAAGCCCGCACATTTGACCTGGATGCCATTTTTGAACAGACCCGACGAACAGCTATTGAGAGGAGCCAGCATGTATTAGGTACATTTATCAACAACCATGATTTGGCAAGCTGATTAGTAATGTGCATGTGTGTGTAATTGTAATCGATACATCCCTAGATGAGCGGCAGAAGGATACACAGATGGAGGAGGAAGGGGAAAGCTCCAAATCAGTCAAGTCTTCAGTCCAAACTCAGAGAGACAAAGCTGCAGCCGCTTCTTCCAGGTACTTCCTAGTTGAGCTAGTTGAGTTAGTTGTATTTAAGTGATCATATTACAGTTTTGTCTGGCTGCCACTGCCTCAAGGTTTAAATACATGTCTGGTATGAAAGTGTAAGAAAAGTTTTTGCTTTGTCTGACACTTAGTTTTTCTTTTCTCTTTAGAAAACAGGAGAGCAACAGCAGCAGTGACAGTGACTCCGACTCTGACTCAGACTCGGAGATAATTGGGCCACCGGTGCCTCGTCAACATACAACCCAGGAGGATGATGATGATGACGACCTTGTGGGACCTCCTCTTCCACCAGGTTATACAGGCAGCACGGCTCACAGTGATGATGATGATGATGATGATGATGATGATCAGGAGGCACAAGATGACGACGATGATGTATGTCTGAAATGACTCATTTAACAGAATGCATTTCATGAGTTACAAAATATTTCCCATAGGTCCATCTGTCTTCCTGCTCCCTCACATAGGTTTTTTTTACAGCAGATATTTTGACTTAGTAGGAAAAGCACAGGTGTTACAAATAACATGAATGACTCAGTTATAACAACAGCAGGACCCTGAAACTCAAGCATCTGAATAGAATTCAGCCATTGCTCATTTTGTTATTTACACCTGTGCTTTTCCAACTGTGTCATGTCAAAATGTCTTCTGTAAAAAGGCTTATAAAGGTTCCAGTTTCTACTTTTTGGGACCCACCACTAGATGGCAGCACAAGAAACTATAAGCTGAATATAAGTTGTGAGGTGTGCACTGTGAAAGATGAGACAAATATCATGTTGTGTTACGCAACATTAGTTCTGTTGTCTGTTTGGTATTTGGTATTTATTTCTCATGCAGATATTTCTCTTCCACTCAATATGTATCAGCATATAAACAGCGTTCCCATAAGTCATTGAAATCATTGAAAGTTTGTGAATTTTAGCCATAAAAAAAACAAGGCTTCGAAAGTTTTTGAAAATAGACATAAATAGATGTGATTAATGCTTGAATTCATATATTAAGTAAGTGCCGCTGTCTGAGAGCACATGGTCTGCCATCAGCACAAGTGAGAGGTGTTCCCACATTCAAGCCTCTTTCTCTTTTTAATTGTTGTCTGTGAGCTACTGTGTAGCCTGCTAACTGTCATTATAAGAATTCTTAGTGTTGTAACAGTAATTAACCTTATGTCTCAAATCATGCAGCGTTGGGTCCTTGAATGGGAGGGAATTGGGTCTGAAAAGTCCATCAAAAGTCCTTGCATTTGATGTTTAAGAAGGTGTGGGAACCCTGATATAAAATGAAGAATTACTCAAACGGTTGGTGATCTATCTGTGTATATACTGCATTGGCGTATATCACAGGATGTGAGTGAAATAGCGCAGGTCCTGAATTTTCACATGTGAATGTTCCCAGTCAGTAATTTGCAGCAGATGACTGTGATTCCAGACGTTTTAGTCACACAAGCAATTAGATTAAAATGTCTTGTCTTGGAATGAAATTCTAAACTGTAACAACACATCTAATTCAGCCCTGGCTTCTTTTACCATTTCCTTGTATACATCTCAATTTTCTGCCGCAGAATCCAGTGAAGAAGATTCCAGACACACATGAGATCACTCTGCAGCATGGCACCAAGACAGTAAGATCGTCTTCTTTCAGCACTGAAGTGATTGCAATTGTTGCTTATGTGGATCTGTGGAAATTTATTCAATGAGTTTCTGTTAGAAAAAAGTGGCTTGTACCCATCACTGAAATGTATTTATATGATGCCACACTAAAACAGATCCGCATCAGTTACTGGATTTTCAGCCAAGGTTACCTTATATTGTGCTGAATTTATTTTAGCAGCAAGAGGAGCAGCAAGTCCGTTTAGTTTGCTCTTTTGTAGCAGTGAGAAAAGGGATGAAATTTGTTTCGAGTTCTCTTTGTCCTAGGTGGAGAGTCAATGTGGTTTCCAGACACAGTGCTGATTGCAGTTTTAAAACTATTTAGATTTGAATGATTTGATTATTACAAAAGAATAAACTTTAAATATTTTGTTTCTATTTATTTTGCTGGCTTTAGAGGAGGCAGTGTGACTACACTGTCAAAAATTTCTGGCAGCTGAAGCAACCTTCTGCACTTGGTTTGCCTCTTTTGGATGATAATTTAGAAATTAACTGTGCAGGCTTATAGATCGTCTTTAAGTTGTAAATAAAACAACTGTCTCCTCAGGTGTCGGCTCTTGGTTTAGACCCTTCTGGAGCCCGTCTGGTGACTGGTGGATATGATTATGACGTTCGTTTCTGGGATTTTGCGGGAATGGACCAGGCTTTGCAGGCCTTCAGGTCCCTGCAGCCCTGTGAATGGTGAGTCTATTTCTGAGAACACAATGTGGAACATCAACACAGTTGCTTAACATGTGGTTAATTAGTTTCATGCAAACATCCAGTACATACACTGTGCCAAAGTGTACACACAAACACACATTTGTTGAGCTTCATTGAGCCTCACTCTGTGACATCCTCTCTTTTCATTCAAAATGAGCCTTTCACAAGCAGATGTTTGAGATATGTGGGTGTTTGTGTGTCTGCGTGTGTTTATTCTGTGTTTCACTGAAGCCATCATCAAAGATTTAATTCTTTTTGGTTTTGGGAACCAGAGGGCTGAACTGGAGCAGGCTTCACCTTATTAACAAAAATTTATGCTACATTTAATTTGATTACAATGTGATTCAGTAGCCTGTTTGGTTTACTAACAAGCTGGGCTTCATATAGAAAGCTGTGCTGCTGAGGTCCACTGTTCCTCTTTCCTTACTCAAAAAGGAAACACGTGAGCTCAGTCAAACTAAAACAATGAAGACTAAGCATTTGGGGCTATGTAGTGAGCCTTTGAAGATGCCAAAACCTTCCAATTAAAAACAGCAGCGATGCTAGCCTTACTTTCATTTCAGCAATGGAACTTTTTGCTCTGTGTATAGAAATATTGGTGCCCCATCTACCCCCTGTTGTGTTAATGCTATTTGTTATTGACCTGAATTGCTAATCTCACTCTGGTTAAGTGGTCCAGATAGTTATTGGTCTCCTCACTTGCAAGCACTGCTTTGCTTTGTGGAATGATATGATTGTTATTCAGTGTAAAATTGAAAACATAAAAATCACATATCTGTTATGAAAAGCACTGAATACAATTATAGAATTCTTTTTATCATGCATACCTTATGTTTTTAGTGTAGTACATATCTGTAATAACAGAGTTTTATTATGGTTGTCCACTCTGCATTTTCATTATGTTTTGCATGTGTAGTATGTTTCAAACAGTGTTATTATTCTTTCCATATCCTAGGTTTAAAATGCCATCATGCCCTGTTATGGTTTAGTATTTTTGTGTGTTTGTTGTTGTAGATCAAAGAGACCAATCATCAGATGTACATCAGATGTTTTGCTGTTTTGTTCCTATAGCTACATTTATCTAGTGTTTGTTTTTTTTTCCCTGAGCCATTTGAAGGAGTAAAAGCTTCTTATATAACAATGTTTTTGGTGCAGAAGTCTTGTAAAATTACAGTTCACAGATGGCTTGCAGGCACAAAGACTGTCAGCATTTACAGTGGATTCAGAATGTGTTCAGACCACTTCAATTTTTTCACATTTTGTTATGTTACAGTCTTTTAGTTATGTTAAAATCAAAAAAAAAAAAAAATTCCCTCATCAATCTACATTCAATGCCCCATAATGACAGTGTCAAACAGATTTTTAGAATTTTTTGCAAATTCATTAAAAAGGAAGGGTTAGACTTAACCACTTAAACTGAAATATCACATTGGCAAGTATTGAGACCTTTGCTATGACTGAAATTTAGCTCAAGTGCCTCCCATTTCTCTTGATCATCTTTTATTGGAGTCCACCTATGGCGATTGATTAGACATGATTTGGAAAAGCACACACCTGTCTATGTAAGGTCTCACAGCTGACAATACATATCAGAGCAAAAACCAAGCTGTGGTGTGGAAGGAACTGCTTGTAGAACTCAGAGATGGGATTGTGTTGAGGCACAAATGTGGGGAAAGATTAAAAAAAAAAAATCTGCTGCACTGAGGGTTCCCAAGAGGACCTACTTTGTCTCAGATGTCCTCCTCATGTGTGTCCTGTATGTGTGTCCCCTCAGTCATCAGATCAAGTCCCTGCAGTACAGCATCACAGGTGATGTCCTCCTGGTGGTTTCTGGTAATGCACAGGCCAAGGTGTTGGACCGTGATGGCTTCAATGTCATGGAATGTGTGAAGGGAGACCAGTACATTGTGGATATGGCTAACACCAAGGTATGCCAAAGTAGTGCTTGCATATAATTGGGATTTATTACAACTTGGGTCTTATTTTCGTTATTTTGGCCATTGTTTATATTCATTATTATAATGCTGAGCTCACTACAACATCATCAGTACAACCACAGTAAGCCCAGCAGGAACAATAAACACAAGTTGAACCAGTTAGTCTGTAAATTGAGATGAATGTTTACAACAGACAGTTTAGGTAATCATTTCACCTTCCCATTCTTTTCTCTTCCAAATAAGTTTAACTAAACTGGGGGTTTGTTTAAATCCTGTCTGATACTTCTGCCCATGTCCGACTTCTTTTTAGTGATGTTGCTGCATTCACAGTTTTCAGCAATTAACTTGTCAGTGCAATGGTATTATTACCTCTCGAAATTATGGCCAAACCTGTAAAAATAAGACCAGGAGTTGTAATAAACCGGAATTAATCTTGAAGATGTTGTATTTATTTCTATAGCAACAGTAGCCTTCCCAAAAGTGACTGCTAATTCTAAACACAGGCTGGATGCTCTGCTCTTCTGCTCTGTGGGTTAACCCTGCCAATGAATAATGGTAGCAAGGTGCAGCTATGAGCTGGTCTGTTTTTGTATGTGAGGATAATGGTCTGTGCTGTGTGACCAGCCACAGGCAGTCTCAGGGGAGAAGAACACCACATGCTTTTGGGACTGTCGTGGTTCATCTCTTGCTTGTACCTGCATCTACAAAGGAAGATCATAATTAAGTGTCCATGTTTGGGTTTTGCTGAGTTTAAGAAAGCTGTATTGGTGGTCACTAACCATCTGTGCCAGCTGCAGTGCATTTAGACATGGTTTATACCATCCATATGAATTACTAGAACAAGTGAAGGCCCATTGATTGCAAGTAGTGTTTTCCTGGATGTCCTACATTCTTGTCCTGCTCAGTCCCATCTGTAGCTGAAGGGAGAGTTTGGTTCAATGAAAATGCGTTTTGGCCTGCTGACAGCGTCCCAGTCGATTAGTTGTGTCTCATGTGATAATTAATTCCTTGCCTTTACTCTGCCTCTGTCGACAATTACTTGCTCCCAGCTCATCCCACTGTGTGCAGAGATTTGCCACACAGGACTATATCTGCATGCAGTGGGAATAACAGTCCAAAATCCAAAGGCAACAAAAAACAGAGAAACGCAGCAAATCCTCACATCTGAAAAGAATGTTTGGTATTTTTGCATTATAAATGACTTAAATGCACAATATGTAATTTTCTGCCGTTATCGGTCGTTCAATCAAAACAATAACAAAAGATAGAGTTTTGTGACATTGTGAAGTAACATAGGTACATGGGAGTTGTTTGTACCACAATTGCCGTCATTGCAGTCAGTTACTCTGTTAGGATATCTCCAGTGTCAATCGTTCAGGAGGTTTTTACTGGGAGCCGAATTATTGTCAGATTTCCCCTCCTCTCCAAAACAAATGGCCTAAGTGATCAAACTGGTAAAAACCCTGAAAAAGGCTGTTTCAAATTAAAAAGCAGCGTTTCTCCGATGCTCTATGGGAGAATCAAGGTGTGTCATAGGAGCTGAGAGCTGAGCTGCTGAAAACGTTTGCTCAGCATGTATCTCTGATAATTTAGGATCCAGACATCCGATGACTAAGATCCTTCTTCTGGTTAAAATATACATTTAAAAATGTCCAAGATCTGAAAATTGTAATGTGACAATGTGGCTTAAAACAAATCAAACAGACCGTTACCTTGATTTAATATTACGAAATTCTCTAAGTTTGAAAATTGCTGGAAACACTTGGGATAATTTAAGTACACAACTCAACAAAATATAAAGCACGGGTCTGGTCATTTTTTAATATTTCATGCTGAAAATTTACACATTAAAAGGTTTAAATGTTGTTAATTAATTTTCTGTCAGTTTGTTTTTTTCATTCATTAACTGTCCAGCTCCAAATTGTTTTTGACCAACAATTACAGAAACCTGTGTTGCTTATGCTAAAAGCAAATTTTTTTTTTTTTTTATCAGGGAGGGTTCTTTTCTTGGCTCTGTTTGTCATTAACATGCTTTTTTGTGTTTTACTATTACTATGAATATCAGTCTGTTTCTCTTTAGTCATTGGCAATTTGTTGTCCTAAACTGTTGAGGAAGAGGAATCAGATTTGTTTCGGAAGGTAACGGCTCCTTCACCCTAATCATGAAGCTCGTTTGTTTATTTTGATTTTATTGCACAGGGGAGCGAAGCAGTTGAGTCATTCTTAGCCCATTTAAGCTTTAACCTAATCATATAGTGAGTGTGTATTTTACCATAAAATTTAACAACTAGCAATTTGCTATTAATCCCTTTTCGTCATTAAATAGCGAGACTTGGGCAGTTCTCTTTTATTGATTATTAAAGTGGTGTGTTTAAAGTACTTGACGGTTAACAGGCAGGCCACTCTTCCTGATGCACACATACCAATGTCATTTGGTCGATTTCTGCTCATGCAAGGTTCTGCTTTCTTAAGCATCCTGTCAAATAGCAGTATGTCATGTCTGAAGCCTCTTTGCAGCACACTGAAGTGTTCCTCTCTGACCTGGCAGTGAGGGAGGCCTCTCACTGGGTTATTCCACTTTGAAGTCATTTGTTATGAGTAATTCTCAGTGGGACTACTCTGGAAGAGGAAATGTCTAAAAGTTTCTCAATTGCTGTTTGAAGCTGTGACACAGCCTTCTGCACTGCTTCAGAGTTCAGTGGCTCAGTTGTAAGGCGAGGCCACAAGTCAAGGTTACAAAATGATCAAATTAAAGGTCCTTTCCTGAAGGGAGAGCCCTTTAAGGTGCATTCAAATTAAGAAAAATAATTGGTACCTCCCAGCAACCTCTGCATGTATCTCTGTGGATACAGGCCTCACAGTTGCACAGTTGCGCAGTTCACACTACACAACTCTGAAGATACATCGTCACAAAAACGTAATAGCACCTCTGAAATAATTAACTGATGACCTTTTGTACGGCAGTCTTGGCTCAAGATTTAACAGTGAAGAACAACAGCTGTCTTTGCACATAATTTGTGTGCAGTGAGATTGCAAAATGCGTCTTCATTAATTCACCTTCATTGGTTCCTCCTGGTGACCAGCTCTTACTGACTGAAACTGTTACAGCTGGCCTCTAAATACGCAATGAGTTTGAAAACAGTCTATGGTGAAGGCTGGATCCACAGTAAACCCTATGATTCACAGATGTGTGCTGATTTTCAAAGCAACTGGAAGCTTACCACTGGTCAACAACAATTTAGTCTGTTAAAAGTGTGCAGTTTGTTAATTTTCACTTTCTGCTCTTTTCAGGGCCACACAGCTATGCTGAATTGTGGCTGCTGGCATCCCAAGATTAAAGAGGAGTTCATGACCTGCTCCAATGATGGGTGAGTTCTAATTAAGTGTTAGGAGCTATGACTTGTAGACAGAGTCCAACAACTTAGTACATAAACCTAATTAATCATGGTGTAATCCTGTAAATGTTCTGAAAGGAGAAACAGTCATGCAAATGGCCACTAGATGCACAGGCACATCAAATTATTTCTGGTCTTTAAGCATTAAAACGTGTCACTATGACAAATAATTATTTAGGAAATCCATAACAGAACTTAAGGGTATCTACGTCATGAAACCGGACACATGCTGACAGAAATACTATGTGCTACCCTATTTTATCTACATCTGTTTCTTTAAACAATTAATTTAGCTTATTATGTTGCCATGTTTATGTTTATATTATTCCATATGACATAGCAGGATGTGCAAATTTAAATGGTCTACTGTACAGTGATACCCAGAAACAACTAAAACATCTTGTTTTATGGATGTACCATATTTCATGATAACATTCATAGCCACACCTCCTGAATATTATGCTTCACTTGTCCAAAGTTAATTTCCAATCATTGCTTATTGTCAGTAACTAATGTAAGCCATGTCCAACTTCCTGTACTCAACTGAACAGACTTTTCATTGCTCTCCTCTGTCACCAGCAGGGAGTCCTCTAGTCCAGACAATGCCTCTGGAAAGGGTAGCTTTGCCTCGCAGCTGTGCATGGATACATGCTACATTTTACACTGGATGTTGTCCAAATGCAGTCCTTCACTTGTGTGCAGTAATTTGGATCAGACCAACACTGCAGGAGATAACAAGATGTCACACAGACACACAGATATATTCGTTCTGTTACAGTTAACAGTGGACTGTTCTCATTTAAAAACAACACTAGACCTGTATGACTGCAGAAGCTATAACCCTTTTGCAGTGTGTATAGGTGTGCGTGAATATTTGTGAGTGAGAGCACAGTGATGAGTCTAAGTGAGTGTGACAGGCAGCAGTGCAGAAACCCAGGGCTATCATCATTAAGTGGAAACAAGGGCCTGGCTTTGTGGGCAGGCCGCAGCCCAGTGTTTACCAGTGTTACTGCTCTCCCAGATGTGGAGGCTGGTTTATTTAGCTCTTATTGAGGCTCTGGAAATCCTCCCCTGGCACGTTAGCACTGGGTGTTGCCCCTGGCCAGCTCACAGGAGAACAGCGGAGAGGAGCGCACAGGGAGCCATTCAGAGGCAGAGCAGCTGCATGTGAGGAAGGTTCACAGCAGCAAAGCAGGTCAGCACAGCAACCTGAGTCTCAGAGATGGAAAGAGGCAGTGATGAAGAGAGGAAATGAGAGAGGGACTGCCTACAGTGATTTACAGGTGAAAGAGATTGTCCCTCTAGCCCTTCTTAAATCTCCCATATTGCACTTTTACTGATCATCACGTTAGTAATGTGGAGTGCAATACAGGGGTTACCTGGTGATAAAGTGCTTTTCTTGGCAGTCCCTCTCATTCCTCCAGTGCAAGCAAAATGTAGATGTGAGGGTTTAAACAGGTGCCAAACATACAGGTCATGTTACTTAGATCCTTGTTTCTATAGTCTGGTAACCTGTCGTTTTCAGCATTCAGGATTTTGTGTTAAGATAGAAAAAAGGCAACAGGATATTTGCTGATCATCCAGATATGTTGGGGTTCTGGATTTTACTCAGCAGATTTATTCTGCATCTTGGAACAGGCCCCAGGACTATATTCAAGTTGTTTAAAAAACTTTCAATTACTGTTTTTAAAATTTTTTTTAATTTCGTTTGGTTTTGTTTGAGAGATTTCAATATATAGTGGCGTCCAAAGGTCTGAGAGCACGTTCATGGTCTCAGACTTTTGAACCCCACTGTATGTTTTCTTGATTGACCAGAGTGTCAGCCTGTCACACTCAGAAGTGGTGGATGTGACATAGGTGGACTTTTAGGATTATGGGCATAATGTACTGAAACCCCATGTACAACCGGAGGATATTCTAGGCTTTCAGTCTACACAGATTATTAATGCTCCAGTAGTTATGGAGCGACCATGAAGCAATGTTTTGTCCTGTCTTTTCTCTTCACCATCACCTCATGTATTCTGCTGCATCCATTTCACTGTCTTCCTTTGAATAGGTATGGAGTCTGCAGGGGCCACACTGTAGTTAGTGGGCCTCTTGAGAATGGTTCAGCAGTTGGCTAACAGTACCAGTGGGCGCCTGCTACTGGCTGTGTCCGCTTAAACATCAGACCAACATCTAGGTTTTTCTCAAGTCTTTCTTCCTGTGTCAGCCTAGTTAGAGAGTCTTTGTTGTGTTTATTTGAATAGGTTATTAAGTATGATCACTGGACCGCCCAGCTCCTTAATTAAAGATCCCCCCAGTTGTGTGGAATCTCATTCATAAGAACTGCCTCCCAGCTCCCTGAATGATTTCATTAACCCAGACATTTTTTTCTCTGAGAGGAAGTGGATGAGCGGGAAGTACTGATGAAGCAGTTTAATAATGCAGCAGCAGGGTGGTAGTGATTGTCCCTGCACACTGAGGACTGAAAGGGGCTTGAGCAGAATTGTGTGACTGAAGTCGGTCAGTGAAAAGCATTTCTGCTCAGACCTGTGTGTGTCAACATTTCACATTCTTCTGTCATTCTGTCTGGAGAGTTTGTGCAATTGTAAAACGGCACAATATTTTCCAACAATATTCATGTTTGATCCAAGGGTGCCAAATACGTATTAAGCAGGGAGCCACTTTAACTAAGTCTTTGCTGAAAGACTGAACACCTGTTTGAAAACTGCAGATTTATTTCTCAGAAAGTGAAGGCAATATGTGCTGGGTCTTCTCCCAGTGGAAGTCTTTCTTTGGCAGGCTTAAACTTGAAGTAAACTAAAATATGACTGGGACTTTGTGTCAGTGGTGTATTTTGAGCCCTACAGTCTTTTCTAATGAACGAAATCTTAAACGCTAGTGGCTTAAAAATCGTTGAATAAGCTCTGTTGAAAAAAATTTACTGTATAGCATTGTTAACAAACTGTAACCAACACTGAAGAAAACTTAACATTAGTGGCTTCAAGGGTATGACATTGCTGATTCTTGGTTTCACTTTATGTAGTTCTATAGCGCCTCAGGAGAACGATCAAAAATTCATGTTGTGCTCTTTTTGTGACTGAAATTTCCGCCAGTGGAGCAGAGGAGAGGACAAACGGCGACTTTCTAATTGGGCCCACATGTTACTTCTGTTGAGTCTTGAGACACACTTGCGCATGTGCACACATAAATACACACAATTTGAGGAATGTTTCCAGGAGGTTTGAATGCCAGGGATTCCCTTCTCGTTGGCCTGCTGTCAGGGCTGCAGCTGGACTTGGATGTGTAGCTGTATGCAAGGAGACCCAGAGGACAACATGGCAGGTCCTTTTACTGCTGAGGAATAAACTATTTGTCTTTGTCATGTGCTCCAACCAAACACATGACGTGATGCATGTGGCATATTCAGGAATTATCATTGGAGACGATCCACAAAAATAGGAAAAGTCACACAAAGAAAAATCATGACCTGTGGATAAATCACAGAAATCAGTTATGCTCTTTTGCACAGGAGTAGTTGGCTCCTGTGTCCAAAATGTTTTTCAAAGCTTTGAATAAGTCAGTATTTCATACAGTTCTTAAGGTTTGTATCCTGTGTCCTAATTGATCATTCCTGGCATACTGATCTTATCAAGTAAGTAGGTAATGTATTTTTCAGTGCTTTCAGACGGCTTACTTTAGATTTTTTGAAGAGAAAGGACATTACTGCTGGGTTATTAAATGTGATCTGCGTGACAGAATGGGGATGAAGAGTGAGGACAGACACCACAAAGTGTGTGTGAGCATGTTGGGGCGATTCATGCAGTTTGACACATCAGGTTCATCCACAGTCCATCTGTTGCCAGCTTTACAATGCAACTGTTCCATATCCTGCACAAGAACGCACATACCGTACCTTCAAGGAGTGCATTTATCCTTCTTGTTCAATTTACATACAGTCTTGGCTGAATTTTTGACAGACAGTAACTTCTGTGCTTTAGTGTGTGTGTTTTGTATTTTATTGAACTGAATGTCAGGCAGCTTCCTTATGGGGAGGTCCAGGAGGAAAGTGTCTTATCAATCAGATTGTTTGATTAAATTAAATCTGCGGAGCTGTCTTGTCTTGTCTTATGGTAGTCCTTGAGTCAAGCGTTTTCTACCTAAAGTGTGTGTGGTCTCACTTTAAGGCCTTTTTAGGTTCATCTTCTATCTTGGAGCCACAGTAATAATGTTATGAATTTGCTTGAATCGGTACCTCACTGTACCCACAGTGCATCTTTGCATAGACCTCAGTGTTTCTTCTTCTGCTTCCTTGCATGAATGCCACTGTGCGTATGCCTCCTCCCAAATCCCTCAGTTATTTCCCCACTTTGTCTTCTTCAGCTGGAGATGGAAGATAGAGCATCTTTTCTCCTAATCCGCTTTTCTCATAACAGAGCCCCAGTTAGTCAGTCAACCGGCCATCAGGCAACACAACCTAGATACATTGCCGGAATTTGACCAATAAACAACCTTATACAAGACGTATGCCTTTCTTTTCCCTCTTTCTTCTTTATCTCATCATCTGGGAAAATGATCCTAGCAACCATCACCCCCACTGGGCCTATAACCTGACGGACAGATAAAATCTGGGGCCAGGGGAGTTGTCACTCCTCAGTTGATGTGTGAACGACTGTGCTACCTCGTAAAGTGCATACGCATGACTGAGGATGTATGGGTCTCATTTTTATTACATTCACCTCTCTGTCTCTGAAGCGTATGAGTGGGAAAAAGGAGGCTGTTGATTGAAGGGAAAACAGGGTTGCAGGGAAGAGGAAAGGATGGAGGTATTGCCCTTGAATGTTTTTTGATGGTTTCTCCATGCCACATGTGAATATTTTGACATCTCATGCTCTTTCATTGTCATTACCTTCCCAAAACAACCACCTCCTCTAAGAGAACAAGGTTTGGGACTGCCCCAGATGTTTCCGTCTAGAATAAAAGGTGCATCTTTAATTAGGTGAAGCTGCAGGTTTTTTTTTATTTTTTTATCATTGCCTCTTTTGATTTTTGTTAATCTAATGTGAGATGGAAAGTTTTTACACTTTAATTAACTAAATTAGAGTACCACATATTAGAGCTGACAGTTTCCCCTCCCCTAACCTCTGTCTGTTTGTCTGACAGGTGAGGGTGTGCAGTCTTCATTCTGTGTGCTTAGTTGGCTCCATCCTCTTGGCTCTGTCTCCCTGACAGCCAGCAATGCCATGTTTTGGAAAGAGCCCTTACGATAAATAGCATTCCAGGTTTTGTGTGCTATGCGAAAGGTTATGTTGTCTTTATTGGTTTGACAGACGCCTACAGTCTTCCGTAAACAAAATAGAGATGTCTGTGTGAGGCAGCAGGTGGACCAATTTGTCATCCAGTCCGTGGCTATCACTCTCTTATTCACTCTCACACATACACGTGTATATCTACTCATGTAAACACTTACTGTACAATACAGAGGCCTTCATGTTGTGCTGGGCATCCTCATTTTATATATGTGGCTTTTTTTTCAAAGCAAGAGGTTTTTTGATTTATGAACAACTTTGGTTTATGTGGATTTAAATGCAACTATGCATCAAACAGAGTTTTATTTGACCCTTGCCAGTTCTCACTCAAACCATATGTCTTCAGTTGGCATTTGTATCACATTGTTAGACTTATCCAAACACAGTTGAGTGTGTGTGCCTGTGACTTTGTATCCAGCCACAGAGGAATCCTTGCCTGGCTGTTAGTAGCAGCCCTGCCTGTGTGTTTATACTCCTCTGCTGACCTCATGACCCAAAGGTCACGATGCTCACTAAAGCAAGCAGTGGGTCACAGACACATTTGGACACACTCTGTCTGGCATGAGTGTTGGTGTCGGTGTGTGAGAGGTTGGTTAAACATTTTGTGTGTAGTCTTTCAATAAATAAATGTGGAGCTTTACATCTATTAAAGTGACTTGCAATGCTGGTAGGCAACTCAGTTTGCTCTCTGTCTTTACATATACATTTACTTTTCTCTTCATCTTTTTTCTTTTACCGTCACTGTAGCACCCATTATCCACTTTCTCGGTTTTCTCGTGAAAAGGGGTTTGAAATATGCAGAAATACTGACAACTGCTTTGATTATCCTAAATAATCTGCTTGATCTGAGGCTTCTTCATCCTCCCCCCTTATTTTGTACCTCAAGTTTCAGTTGTTTCTTGTGTTTCATTCTGTGTATGATTGGAGACACGGCCATATTATATATCTTCGTTGTGGATTGTTTGAGTGTAATGTAATATTGTTGATGGCTTGGTGTCAGGTTGAGTACATTATTATTGTTTAAATACCATTTAAGTCAGCTTAATGTGTTCAGTGTTTTGAAAAATAAATCTGTGACCATGAGGGATTCTTGCTGAGCTTACATTTGATAACAGTTTGGAAATTTTCATTGCTACATACACTACCGGTCAAACATTTTAGATCACTTCTGTTTTTCTAGCTGTTAAATTCAATGTCACTGTTTCTGAAATGAAAGCATAGAACAAATAAACAATTTGTAAAAACACACTCTTTCTATGAAGTGGAAATGAAACATTGTTCAGAAAGTTTGTCCCAACACTGTTGCAGAAGTTCCAACAAATGTGTTGCACTTGCAGGTTGTTTTGCTTTCACCTTCTTTCCAGTTCATCCATACCAGCTCTAACAATTTTTTCTAATCCCGGAAAAAGGACTGTTTTCTATGAAATTTGCATGATTTTTTAGTTTTCGATTACCTTTTTTTTTTTTTACTTTGGGCAGATTAGTGTTGACCTTTTGTATCATGTAAGGTTATTCACTGGACTTTTGTGTAGTGTAGGTATATGTATATGAAAGGTTTCCATTTAAAGTCCTTGGTCTCAGTGGTCCAGGTTGTGTAATGTGTTCAACAGATGTAGGAGAGAGAATCAGAATTTCATGGAAGCTTCAGACATGCCTGTCAGACTGATGTACTGTTCTTCTGTTTGCTAACCCCTCACCCTGCAACACATACCTGCCTAACCCCTGTACATAAGTGTGCCTGCACACTGCATCTTAGTATGATTCTGATTTATTATGGTGGTGGATGGTGTTAATGACCAGATACATTATGACGGACAGATATTTTATGACCGCAAAGGTAAAGAAATTCTTTTGTCTGTCCACAGCACCGTGCGCACATGGGACTTGAACTCGGAGAAGAAGCACAAGTCTGTGTTCAAACCCCGCTCCTTCCAGGGGAAGAAGGTCACACCCACATGCTGCACCTACAGCCGTGATGGGAAGCTCATTGCAGCTGGCTGCCAAGATGGCACCATCCAGATCTGGGACAGGAACCTCAGCGTGAGTCTTAAAACACACACATACCAACCACCACAATGTGCAAACAATGTGGTTGTAAACATAGGATGTCTGTTTTGTTATGGCCTTGGGTACAGAGTCATGAGACTCAGGTCATATGGTCACAGGCCAGAGAGGTCAGAGTTCAACAAGTCACGAACACTGACCAGGATTCAGATGCCTGGCTTTAAAATGCATTTGTCCAAACTGGGAGTAGTTGAGAATATTATTAAATGCCTGTTGACCTTTTTCGACCCTGTAATCACACTAACCAGGTACATGGCAATGAGCTTCAGCCAGATTTGCTCTGGTTCTATTCAAACGTAAGTCTACAGCCATAATAGAGGCTCTGTGAGGCTGTAGTTAGACATATTGGTTTTTTGATCAGCATGCTAACAGTGACAATGCTAATATGCTGATGTTAATAATAATAGTTACCATTTGCACAATCTTGAGGCTGATGGAATTTTTGAATTGATGATTACGCTAAAAGAAAAGGTAAGGAAACATCAAAGTGATTACAATTCATCTGGAGGGGGACATGAATGTTTGCTCTAAAGTAGTTACTGAGACATTCTACTCAGAACCACAAATCTCGACCTTATGGCGTCACTGGAGAAATAGTCAGGGGATCGCCAAAGTGGTGGACAGACGGACAGAATCACCATCCCTAGAGCCACATCTCTAGCATGAAAAAAGATAGCAGATTATGTAACTGAATTAACTGACGTGTGATGATTGAGTTGAGTTACATGAAAGTTGCTCGGAGGCCCAATCACAATTTCCCTCTGTAGATTTTCCACTATTAGTTAATTAGGCAATTAAGCGATCAAAGTGTTCATACCATTCTTCAAGATTAAAATTGTTGAGGTAATAGTTGATCTTGGCTCCTGGGAAGCATTGCTCTCACTTATTTGGCTGTTTTCACTTGAGTTATTTGACAAATCGTCACTGTGGATGAAAATGACTTCCATCCCCGGCAGGATAATGGATTTCCTCCATCTTTCTTTGACTAGAGCTTCTGAAGCACTCAAATGTTACATCACTGATGGTTACTTCTTAACCCATGCCTGCCTTTCTACCCGTGAGTCTGTCTTATTAATGGCTGTCATAGTGACACCTCTGGTCAGGGTCTGGGCAGCAAAGGGATATCACCTGCTGTTGTTTCCTGATGATCAATGACAGTGTAGGTTTGGCAGCTCATTGCTCACTTGCTTTTTCACACACAAGAGAGATGGAAAGAGGAGGAAAAAAAGATGGAGAGCTGTCTTTCTGTTGAAGAGAGTTTGAGGGACCTGCAGCACTCATAAGTCAGTATTTTCAAAGAGGACATATTACAGGCATCTTTCCAGTGAGGTATTGTCTTACATTATGGCTAGCTCTTTTGGTTTCACAAGTTACTCATCTGGGAGTCGTACAATACTAAAGACTCACATTTTAAGATGGAAAATAAAATTGATTGAGGACTACACACAGATATTGCTAGCCATCTTAGCCAACCGCTATCAGGACAATATAGATTTTGAAAAGTTGGGCACGAGTCTATTTTCATGAACTATCTGGAGATAAGAAGTTGTTTTTCTGCCCTCAAGGTTTTGGCACATTTCTACTCTAATTCTTTTGTTTCACTTCAGATCCTTTCATCTGTCCAACCCCATATGTGGACATGGTTGAATGCTTCTGTTATTTCATATGAGAATAGCGACAGTGACAATTAAGCAGTAGTTAGTGAGTTGGAACAGCCTGATTGTACAGAGGGGCTTATCCAGATTAGTCAAATGAGAAGTAGGCTACACGATAATTACTCCAACAGTCAACTTCATAATCACAGGACTAACAAACAATGTAGTTAGATGGGAGATTTGTTTTCCCTGGAACTATTTCCTATTGTAAGAGTGCCTGTGCTTGTATGTACCCAGGTTGAACAGACTCCTGCCTCTCCTCCACTCACCCATCATTCTACCCCTGGGCTGCTCGTAGGAGCAGGCTCCAAGTGATTGGGTTAAAGCTCTCAAAATTTATTAGCCCTCCTTCTCCAAACTAAATATTTACCCTGCGTCCCATAGCAGCTTACAATAGTCATGTCTGTTGCCTGACCACTGGAGCCTGCCTTGTCTGAATGGCTCAAGAATTTAGTCGGTGCCCTCTGCCCTAATCAGCAACCTGTGCTGCTGACTGAAATTCAGCCACAAGCCTAAAAAGGAGTTGACCTCTCGATGCTTTTATTGCAGCTCCCTTCCCCACTCAAATGAAGCCTATCTCCTGTTGTATCACCGCTATTACTCATGGCCAGAATATGCAGGCAGATCAATCACGATCAATCATGTACATGACCTTGATCTAGAGCTCAGGCTGAAGAGAAGCTATTGAGGATGACACATGGTGCTCTTGAACCCTGACACTGGTTGATTGATCCTATGATGGGAGTCAAGTAGGTCTCTTTTAGTGGACAGCCACAGAGAGTGATTGCATGCTCACTCCCTGACCAGAGGGGTCGGTGCCAGAATTACAAGACTGCATGTAAATGGTTGCCAGGTAATGTGCACTCTGTGATACTTAGTGCATTGAGGGTGCAGCCCTTCGTTCCAAAACATTACCACAGAGACCTGAGGAATGCTATGATGTCATTGGTAGACTTAGATGTTTCCAGACTTCAAAGTGGGACCCCAAAAGAGGTGGTTTTGATAAACTACACAGTGGGGAGTGTTATCATGAGATAACATGGCAAAAATTCTCTTGTTTTCTGCATATGCTGTGGCTTTGTCACTGCAATCGATCCTTAATTATATGAGCAAAAATGAAGATCCCCAAGAAGTTTTAAATGGGTCCAGAGCTCAATTTTGATGTGTGGCAACTCTTTTCTTCATTTTGGGTCCTTTATGATTCTTTCTTTCTTTCCATTTTGTCTTTGTAAAATGAATCAAGTTTCCAGGATCCTTTTTCTCCACTCAACACCCGCTATTTGTCGCACATATTTTATTGTCACCTGCATAAACTGACAACCAGTTCTGGCCAGCGCATCAGTTTCAATCACCAGTCTAAAAGGACCCTCAACACACTAATGCAACTCTGGACAGCATCACCATCAACCAGTAACTCTATGGGTCATAAAAGACGGGACTGGGGGAGATTAAAACAGACAATCACAGAAGAACTTCAAGTCCAATGAAAATGTTTGAAAATTGTCTAGGATTTGATAACAAGCTAGGCTACACACAGCCCGAACCTGTCTTCATGGAAGCATTTAAAGTGCAATCAAACTGGTCCACCAGGCTATGAAAAGACAGCCTGATCATAAAACTTTACACAGGATCTCCATCCCACAGGAGGAATACGTCCAGTGTTATACATTCCTCATTCCTTACCCATGTTTTGAGCCAGGACAACGACTTGGAAACAAGAACAGCACAGAATCCCATTTTATTTGTACAGTATGCAGCTGAGACTTAGAGGTATATAGTTATTTTAATATAGCCCACTATTGGACTATCTGGACACTCAATCCAGTGTGTGTGATCCTCTAACACACAGACGGCTTCACATCACATCACCACTTGTTGATTTCCATGAAAGATCAGAGCAGCTGTTCAGGGCTGCGGTTTGGCCACTTGATTCTCAGAACGTAACAAAGGTCAGAGTGAGATGTTACAACTGACTTCACAGTGGGCATCATCAAGTCTTTCAGGTGTGCGGTTGTAAAAATATGGAGGTAGGAGAAATGCAGAGCCGTGCAGTATTTATATAATGATACTCAGTGTGGTTAGGAACAGTTGGCCCTGTGGTGGATTGCTATCATAGTCTGCTGAGGATGAAACCCAATGCTGTGTTCCTTCAGCTATGTATCAGCTCCTGCTGCTGAGTGTGTGTAGATGTGGATCAAGTCTGTGCGTGTATGTGCGCATGTCAGTATGCTTATGCATGTACAATGTCATATGAAGTGGTTTACACGTAAATCTGTTTTTTAAAAAATACAGACATTGGATTGATAAAAATTTATCCCGATTCTTATTGGGCAGAGTGAAGGGCAAAGCTCACAGAGGATGTCACAAGGCGTGAGAGAAGTTTGAAACAGTGTATGAGAATCCGGTTTCACAAACCGGCTGTATAGATTATCACAGGAAGGAAACCCCATGGCATCTACCAATGCTAGCCAACATCAGGATAGTAAATAAACACTTTGGCTTTCACAACAGCAGTATATGATCTAGAAATAGCTGGAGTCAGGGTATGTTTGCAATAAACAGCTCGAATAACCACAACCCACCTATTAACGGAGCTACTTTTTCTGATTCATCCATTAATTTGGTATTTCTATTATAATTGTATGTTCCTCTCTGCCTCACCATATTTGTTTTTCTTTTGATCATTACTCCTGGAAATGGCTCGTTCTAACAGCAGATGGTGTTAATCTCAGACAGAAAGACGTCGGATGAAAAGAGAAAAAAGAAATTGTTGAATGATTCATTACCGGTTGAATAAGAGCTCATAACTTCTTGCTAGTTGACCTGAAGAAACCTGTGGCTATTGTGAAAACAGAGTTTTGAAACAAGTTATTTTAGAAAAAAAAAATCAAAAGCATCTGTGCAATTCCCTCTGATGTTACATAAAGCAAATTTCATCACCTTTTCCTTGCAGTAAATTTGTGGTGTATTATGTTTATGTTTGGCGCCATATATTCTTGCCCTGCAACTCCGAGTATTATCCCTCAAACTACAGGAACTAGCCTGGACTGTCCTCTTCTGCCAGACCCATTTTTATGATTTGACCTTGAGCTTCATGCAACAGCTCATAAGAAAAGATAATTACAAGAAAATGGTTCATTAGCACACCCTCTTGTTCATAGTCCATTGATCCCTTCCAACTTATTTGTGCCAACCATGTATAGATGCATCCACAGTAATGTGAATGGAATTTCTGTGTTTGGATAAGCTCCTATTGTCCATGTGCATATGACACAACAGTGGATGTGGTCACTGTGATTACATGATTGAAATGGGGCCCCTAGTGTCTTTGTTTTAGGCTGATCAAGAAAAGCAGGCAGTTCTCTAAGCTTGGACACCATGTACCTTAAAGCTAGACTATTCTCTTCACAGAGTTTGACTGTGTTTAAGCCTTACTTTGTACTTTACATTGTGCTTTAGCTGCTACTTATTGGGCCTGAGATAGCCTATGGCCCAACTGTTAGATTAGAAAATGTAGTTTTTACATTAAATTGACCTCTTGACTTTCTCAACCAACTCAATTTTAGTGCAGCAAATAAAAGAATAGGTAGATAATCAAAGATAAAAAATTGAGGAAAATGGAATTGAGTCAAAGGTAATATATGATGAAAATGGTGATGAAATGAAGCAGAAAATTATCCCTGGAGAGACTACAGAGGCTAAGTGGCCAAGACCTGAAAAAGTAGAATCCATGTTATCTACAGTTCAAGGTAACAGTGTTATCTGTCTCGTCCAAGTTAATAACTTCCCTCCATTTACTTTGGAAGTGAAGTATGGCCTCGTTTCCTCCTTGTATCATGAGGACACATCACTCATTCACCTCATGCTCCACTCTCCCCTGCTCTTTTCGCCAGCATTTCTCTATATTTCTCTATCTTATCTGCCTTATACACTCTGTGCTCACTTCAGATTCCTTATCCTCCTTTCTTGGTCAAAAGCCTGTATTGCTGCAATTCCCTTTTCACTGATTTATTTGCATTCCGTTTAGAATTAATGAAAATGTAGCCGTATAAACCAAGGTTATGTTTGTTTGAGTGTTAGCAAGCCTACTTCCCAGACTATTGCTTCACCAGAGTCTAGTAATGATCGATCTCTGTAATCTGGCTGTGCTCAGCTCAGGTAAAACTAAGGCACTGGGGAGAAAATGAGTAGAGAGAAGACACAGGCAACAAGGCAATGAAGTAGTGCTAAAACATTTAGTTGATTAGTTTACTGACAAAAAATTAATCTGCAACAATTTGACAGTTGATTCATCATTGAGGTAGTGTGAAAATTAGTAAATGTTAAAAATGCCATTGAACATCACGTCTTTCCAGTTTGAAATGTTCACTGGACAAAACCTGCAATTTCAAGACATCACCATGGGCTGTTGTGATAGACGTTTTATGGACTAAATGATTCTTTGATTAATTGGAAAAATTATTAGATTAATCAACAATGTAAATATTAATTAGTTGCAGCCCTAAATGTAAAATCATGATAACTAAAAGAAAATCTAAAATTCTATCATTGCTTTTTACTTGGATATAGATTTTTGTATAAACCTAGGGTTAACTAAAGTAACATGAATTGTAACGTCACTGTATTTATATACTGGTCATCCCCTTTTTTCACTGCTGTTCATTGTCCACATTTGTGTGACCGTGTACCTTTACACAGCTTTTCTTTGTGTGTATGTGTGAACAAGATAGAGAAAATTATCTGTGTTGGTGGGGGGGGAGTGTTGAGCTGGGTTATTTCCAGCCTGGAGCTGCAGATTTGGCACACACACTCTGTGCTACAGCAGTACACCACTTACTCTGAGTGAGCACTGAGGAAGTACATCGAACGGCAGGCTATCTTGAAAACAGCTGTTTAGACCAGAAGTTAAAATGCTTCTGTTTGCAGAGGATACACATCTGCAGGGGCTTGGATGAAATGTTTTAGAAGACTTTTGAATTGAGCAGAGGGCAATTCAATATTGTTTCCAAAATATCACTAAAATGCCACCACGAAACACATAAACGTAAAAAGTTAAATTCTGTTGATTTATGACTTAACTGATTTAATTAATTAACTTCATTAAATAATTTTAGTTCTACTCACATAGTAATTAAAAATCGAAGCTAATGAAAGACTGTTAGTAAAAGAGCAGAAAAAAACGATGCTGTAGATACTGAGATATCCTAGTAATGGTTCCTGGTATGGGTCAAGCTCCAAAAGCACTGTTTCCTCCACTTCACATAATGTAATTTTTAATGTGTAAAATTGGTGAAATTCCCCTTTAACTGTTCTAAGGAGGGGTTAGATTTGCTTCTTTACTTCCTTCCCCAGATTTGTTTTTGTTTTAGCACTTCTTCAAGCAAGCATGAATGCCCATATTATATAACTGATCCTGGTGGTTGTTGATATTTTGATGTGACACCTTAAAATACTTGTTGTTACTGGCTCAGACTTGTGACATAATACTTGATTAAGCATGGCTAATAATAACAGAGAATCAAAAGGGTGCTGTGAGCTGGGTGCTGTGAGCTGAGGGCTGCAGTGTCTGCAGTGTGTTATTGGCTGGTAAAATGTATATAGTTGGAATATTATAATACTATTTCAGGTAGGACCAAAGGAAAAATCTAAATACCAGACAGGCACCTAAGCTTGCCAAGGTAAATCTCTGTAGTTGGTAGTCTTGCTAAAGACTGTGGTGGGTACAGTGTGCCAAGTTGCTGGTATTTCATAGGATGTAGGGGGCTTCATAGTTAAGTATAATAGTACGGTGTTCATGCAGGAAATGGAAACCGTGTGTTGTTTGAAAGACAGAGAGAATGAAAAAGTCTTCTTGTTACTGCAGTGACAGACTGAAATGTCTGCTAGTGAAGCAAAGCATTGGCAGTTTCATAGTGTAGTTCGTCAGGAGATTATAAGAACACTTTAATATTTATGATCAGTAGTAACCACAGCAGCATGTTTATGGAAACTGCAGAGAGCCAGGACTGCACTAGCTATTCATTTTTTTCTGTAATTAATGATCAAGTTCATCTAGTTAAGTTCTTTTCTGTCTCTGTAATGTCTTTTGAGACTTGTTTGTGATTAATATCAACAGTATATAAATACACTTAAAGCTGTATTTGCTCAAGTATTTCTATTTTTGTCACTTGCACAAGTCTATTATTAGACACAAACAGGACTGACTTGCTGCTATCATGACCTCTGTACTCGACTTTCGCTTTCATACACATTTACATAGGACCTGAGTCTGAAACTGCAGTTGTGTTACACATCACTCCTAAACCATAAACTATACAGACCCTGTACAAATCACTGTGGTCAATCTATTGTTCTCTTTTTCTTCCTAGGTCCATACAAAGTTCCACTGTCGACAAGCACACACTCCAGGATCTGAAACCTCTTGCCTCTCTTTCTCCTATGATGGCATGACTCTTGCTTCACGTGGAGGTAAGAAAAAGACCTCAGCCTTATCTGCCAAACCCCCACAGGCAGCTATTGCTCTTACTGAAGTTGCATTCATCAGCAGCCCAGCTCGGAGCCTCCAGTTTTTAGGTCCAATGCTTGATCACTGATCCAAAGTGATGATTTTTAAGCAGAGAAGAAGCTCATCTTTTCCTGATTGTGCAACTAAACAGGGACCACGACCAACAAAACACACATACACAAAAAGACCTGTGTTCTAGTCAAGAGGTTTCTAATACAAAAATAAACAAGAATAACTCTGTGGCAGAGTTCTTCACCCAACATAATATAATGTATATGAAAAATAAATCTTGCTGCCTTGCTGTATGTGGTACACTATAGTTAAGTGAATAATCTTTAATAAAGTTCCACTTGACTTTCTGTAGAGTAAATCTCATAATTTACACACACTCTTTTCTAGGTGATGACACTCTGAAGACGTGGGACATACGCAACTTCAGGAAGCCTGTGAATGTAGCTACTGGGTTAACCAACTACTTTTCCATGTGAGACTTTTTAACTATCATCCTTGTTACAATCTGTCTGTTTGCTTTTCTTGTCATGATTGCTTTATGCGATGATTATGAACTGATGTTGTATGTGTATGTATATGTGGTAATTTTCCCGATTAGGACCGACTGCTGTTTTAGCCCAGATGACAAGCTTCTGGTGACTGGGACATCGGTGAAGAAAGATGAGGGAAATGGGAAGCTGGTTTTCTTTGACCGAGCTTCCTTTCAGAGAGTCTATGAAATAGAAGTCACCAACGCAGTAAGTTCTTTCTCACTCACCACAACCACAAATACTCTCATTACAAGATGTTTTTCAGCTGGTTGATATGATATGTTGGTTACAAACCAGAATGACCCAAAATGATGCACAGTGGAAAAGAAACATAATAAATCCACAATGAAACATAATGAAGACATAATGAAACCAATGTGGGTGTTATTTCTCCTCCATTTAAGTAGTCTGGGCTCAAACAAAACTGCTACCCTAAAATATGTTTATATCATTACATCTTCTTTAAAATACAACAGTAGTCTAATGTCACATTTTGACAGCTGTAAGGACCAGACTGTCCTGATATGGAGATTTAATTAACTTTACACAGACTTATTCCAGTGGATTAGAGCTTCATTCTATTATTTATGTTAGCTGATATTTAAACATGTGGAAGTAATTGCTAACAGCAAATATAGATAGTTGTGTACACCAGAGGAATTTGGAGAAACATATCCACAACTGTGCAGTCAGCAGCCTCTGTTATTTATAATTAAGGAATAATAATGCAAGAAACACAAGTCTACAAAAAGTAATTAAAATGTTATTTGAACTGACACCAGTTCTCTCACAAAGAGAAATTAGTTTTTCTTTTCTCTGTAACTGAAATCAAATAGCCTAGTCCTCTGGCAGGTACTAGACATTTTTCCTTTTAAATCACTGTCTCAGATGCTCGTAGTCTCTCAGCGAAATAGCAGAATATGTGCAGTATTAATCCAGGATGAAAAATTAATGTTATCGTTATTTGGGTGGAAAATACAGAGGAAGATGAGAAAAGTTATGGAGGGGGGAATGAAGGCAAAGGAGGAAATTTACAAAATGGTTTGAGGTAAGCTTGGAGAAAGTGGAGTAATGTGACCTTTCCCTGCTGCAAGTCATTCCCGCAAACCTTTGGCAGGACAGCTATTGACGTTTTTACATGTACTGCCTTTGAGTTATATTTGAAATTAAATTATCTACAATACACAGTAAGCATGTTCCATTCACATGCACAGACTACAGTGTCGGACACGTTAGCATACTGTGTACTTTAGACTAATCCTGCTTTCTCAGAAATCCATTCTGTGAGGGCAACCAGCCATAGGTGCTGAAACGAAGGGCAGAGGTGCTGTCTTCAGTAGAAAAACTTTTGTTTCGTTGCTTCCTGCTCCTCCTCTGTCTCCTTCGAAGGCCTTTTCAACAGATTTAGCACTGTGTATCTGTAGTCATAACAGTGAGGGCTGACAGAGGCTAATGGCTTCTTACTTGGTCTCTCTGGCTAAGGCATGACACTTTCACATGAGCCATTGGGTGAACATGTTTGAGAGAGGGGGAAAGAGACAAAAGCTGGGTTTGTGTGTGTGTGTGTGTGTGTGTGTCTGTGTGTGTGTGTGTGTGTGTGTGTCTGTGTGTGTGTGTGTGTGTGTGTGTCTGTGTGTGTGTGTGTGTGTGTGTGTCTGTGTGTGTGTGTGTGTGTGTGTGTCTGTGTGTGTGTGTGTGTGTGTGTGTTTGCATCCCCCTGCCCTGCCAGCCAGCTGCTGTTCACTTGCAAACCTTGGCACAGCATCCACACTAAGTACACACCCCGCTGCACAGTTGTACTAACTGAGGGGAGGGGAGGGCAGTCTGTGTTTTGGTTGACCCCATTTTATTTGCGTGAAAATTTCTTTTGAATTTCTCTTGAATTTAAACTTGAATGTAACCTTTCAAGTCTGCATACACCTCTAACTGAGAGAGCTACATGATGTACAGGTGTCTGAAGTTAGAATAGAGTGAAGAAAAATTACACTGCATTGGCATTGAATCGACTGAATTAATTTGATGACTAAAAGTAACTAAAAGCTAAAAATAGCACAGTTGTTAACATTAGTTACTCTATCACTGTCAACTGTGTTTGGGAATACTTTGGTGTACTTACCTCACAATCTCTGAGTCGTACTAAGGTCTTACACTATTGTTTGTGCAAGTGTTTCTCAAAATTAAAGTCACATTTTTTAGATACCTTGGTGTGTTGGTGGCATTATACTTGTCTTCTCTTCTCTAGATACGTAGAGCTTGTTTCTGGCAGTAGCTAGAAAGTGACCACACAACCTGACAGAGCTAAACAGTGTCCTCCAATTGAAGTGCACTTGCTTTTTTGAGTGTTTAGTATTTATTGTTTCTCTCAAAGATGGTAGGTGGCATTATTGATTTGTGAACAATGTAAACCATATATGCATGGATGTGATTTATCATTGTTGTATTTAAGACGAGTCTACTTTATAAACCAAATCAGCTGTAACATGCACTCACTTTCACTGTGGTGACAATAGCTAGGCAGCATCAAAGGACGACCCCAGACACTTGGGGTCAAAGAGTCTGTTTAGAACTTAACAACCCACGTTCTCCCTCGCGTGGACGTTTGTCTTCTCTTTCACTTTACTGAAGAGGGTAAACATTTGGAAATTTTTTTTTCCACTGGCCTTTCACTCATTCCACCATCTGCCATAGTGAGAGACTTCAGCTCAGTTTCACTGGAAGGACGGCAAAACCTCTTCCTGTCTACTCACCCATTGTGCTATACAGAAATCCACCAGATTTCCCATAAAATCCAACCACGAAAAACAATGCAATCTAGAGACTGGCACGGGGTGCCAATTGCCTTGGCAATGGCTTTATTTGTGTTAATTGTACTAACCTCCCAAAATTGATATAGTGATGATGAAAGTACTTTTTAATTATGCTTTTTCCCTCCGAAAGGAACTTCATCCGATTCAGGCTATGGAAATAAACCAATAAAAAAGCAATCCACTTATTTGAGCAGTTTCTTGCTGTTATTCATTTAATTGCTTCTGTGTCCATAAAAGCTGTGGTTTGTGCGTCAACATTTTGTGTTGAGTGGGCACATAGATGGATTAGTGGCATGTTACATAGGAGTCAGAGACCTTTCTAAAACTCAATAAAATAAATTGTTGTTGTTGATGGCTGTAAATTACTTTATTATTGCAAAATTACATAGACGTATTTGTTTCTGTTTGTAAGGTAATGTAAAAAAATACCAAAAAATAAACTGAGGGAGGTTTAGAGAATGTAAGGGTTACTACCAGATTGTCAAGCCTAGACTGTTTTGATGTCCTTGATTTTTGGATTGATGTATTTTATGGTATTAGATGTTCATATTTGACAAAGTTTTCATAAAATTCATCCTCTGTATTCATCAGTCTCTCATCCCAACCCCCCAACCAGTCTGAGTCTAACTAGATGACCTTTGTGAAATATCAGTAGCTTTACCGCATTTTCTAAAATAATTCTGATGAGGAAAATTTAGTTTTGCAGGATATCAGTTTTATCTGGTTGACATGCACTCAGTGAACCTGATGAATGTGCTATTTACTATGTTTACATCAGCCATCTGCCTCTCAGATCGCCCAGGAATTTAAGTGCAGTCTTTATAAAGTGGCGTACCAGACAGGCGAGTGAAAGGAAGGGCCACCAATCATTTCTAACTAAACAGTCTACATAACCCCAGACCTGGATTCTGGGGTGTGCATGAGAGTGGAGGCTGTTTTAGGCCCATTTGGTAAATACTTCATACACTCTTAAGATTATCTTAGTCCATCAAAAGGGGCAAGAACCAGGTAAGACCCTGCTGACTATCAAAGCCCTGAGCTTCTGGCTGGATTTCAAATGGAGACCTAGTGCAACCTGCAGCCCTCATGCGCTTTCTGTAATGTCAGTATACTGTATGCAGTCACATTTCACCTTCAGTGCATGTATGTGTCTTCCGGTGCGATGCATTATGTGATTGCATGCACCTGTCAGCATGCACTGAAACTGTTGTTTGATGTGAGTTATACTGCTGTATGAATCTTGACACATTTAAACACAATCTTGTCATTTTCTTTTCTTTTACTACTACTAAATATACACAAACCTAAAATGAATGTTGGTGCATGACTGTCTCCACTTGACCTGTGTAGTTACGGCCTCACTCATCAGATCCATCTAGTGAGGTACACAGATTTTGAAATGAGAATAAAAACAGAGCACTGGTTTCAGATAGGTGCTCGACATTATCCAAAATCCTGTCCATCGGTATAGGAATCAGGATTGGGCGAGGAAAAAGTGGGTTGAGAGCATCCATAATAAGATTCTTGAATTTCAGGAGTGCAGCTAAACAATGAATGATTATCTGTAGTATGTATTATATCATGGTTCTCATGGAGATCAATTTTTGTAGGTAATGTATTTTTGGCCACCTTCACTAGTTGCTGTTTGCACATACTACACCTTCTTATCATCATGCTTGATAGCTCTTGGACAATAAGCTGCTCTCTGTGCTTTGCTCTTTAAGGAGGCCATTGATATGAATGGCTGGTCTTTCAGGTAGAAGGGAAGCCTTAACTCTGTTCTTTCTTGTGCATCTCACCAAGTAAATCTTGGAAGATGCAAAAGCCATTTGCTCCAGTGAGGTAGTCCATACTAATTACAGACTTCTCGGACATGTGCCCACTCAGTGTGTAGCTGAGGTCCTGAGAGAAGCGTTTTCCTTTCCCATACTGCATTCAGTTGGCCAGTGTAACTCTGTAAGTCTGTCAGAGGCAATGCACATTTGGATCCACTCACCAGCGACTAAACAAGGCACACAGCTGCGACTGTTGTGTCCCACTAGTGCTGCATAACTTTATTTCATAATCAGCATACATATTGGGTGAGTGGCTGTTGTCTGATTTATCCCTAATCAGCCTCTGGTATTTTAATCTGATGGAACATAGAAGGCTGCTACTGAAGAGCTGACTGATTAAAGTTTCCTCCTTCATGATGTGATGTAATTTTGTGGACGTGAAGCATAAACAGGGGTTCCTAGAGTATAAACATGCTGCTCTGAATATCTGGAAAGCAGTCTTACTATTGGACTGGACTAAGCTGTGCTTGGCTGTGGATATCTCAGTGGATCCAGCTGGGGGTGGGCCTCACTGAACTGGTCTGTTTTAGGCTGCTCTGCTCTGTTCTTTCGGGTTTGCCTGCTGTTGACAGAATGATTTGTTTGAGTCTGAAATGGTAGTTTTCTGAGCTTGACTGGTTGTTTTCTCATTTTTATTTTCCCGATTAGCGCCGTTCTGTGCTGTGTTGCTGCGCTGTGCATTGGGTGACAGCACCTGTGGAGTGAAACAGAATTCCTAGCTGTCGTCTCTGCCTTCCCTCACGTGTGGGGACTGTCCGTGTTGCTTTAGCAACCCTGACAGGGCAATTTATAACTCATTACACATTTACACTGAAGCACATCCACAGTGGGTAGACTTCAATTGGTCATGATACACACAGTACATGTTGATACATGTCAATACAGGTGTTGAGCTTTCCATGGGAGCAGACAGCAGTTTTCACAGTTCAGAGTTATTTGTTAAATCAACATTTGCTGTGCTAAAATAGTATAGTGCAATGTCCACAGTGTAGACGTGTTTAAATTTGTGATTATTAAGTAATTTACTTGAAATTATTTATACGTTAACTTCTGTCTGCCAATACATGAATGGAATATGTGAGGCTCATGATAAGCACATCCTGTTTAAAGCATTTTCCAGGTCTTTCATCAATTACAGCTGGCTCATGATCTGGTTGAGCAGATTAACCCTTGTCTGTCCCATGAGCCACACACACACTGAGCTGCTGGCCTTATAGTGTAGAAATATACATGATGTTCCTGTAAAATTTTACTAGACTGTGAACTATTTTTAGTTCACTGTAGGTACAGACAATGTTAATTAATTAATTTGCATACTTGCATGAAAATACTGGAACATGATTATGTCGTTAACTAATTTTTTTGTGTGTCAGATCTAATGTTTTATAAGATCCCCTTAAGTTGTGCTTTGTAGTTTCATATTGTAATATTGAACTAAAACACAAACTAACCATGCTTTCATTTTCTCTATGTATATGTACGAGTACGTCTCTGTATACGTGTCTATCCTTGTATGTGTATGTGGGTGTGTGTATGTGTGTGTGTGTGATTGAGACTCCTTCCCCTGGTATCCTGGTGGGAAGCTGAACAGCTGGGCGCTAAGCAGCTTTCACCGTCACAGAATCTGGACGTCCCAGTCGTAGTCCTACCCACCCCCCATCCTACGCTCCTCTTCTAGACCCCCGCCCCCCAGATTGCCTTCTCTGTTCTACATAAAGATGCACCAAATGCTCAGTCACTCCTTCTTAAACAGTTTGTACAACTACAGGACATCCAACCGCAACAGACATATAGATGTGTGTTAACAATGACACTCTTAAACATAAGTCATCATTGAAGGTTGTGATGCTTCAACAGTGTGTGAAGAAAGGAAGCACTACTGCAGGAAGTCTAGCACTTTACTATAGCTCACATAACACAGACTGAACAGAGGGTCTTCATCACTGTCAGACAACTGTGCTTGTATGTCTCTCTCTGCCCCTCTTTTGCTCTCTGTCTGTCTCTCTCTCTCTCACACACATACACACACCTCTGGATAAATGTGGTCACATTTGCCTATTGGCACTGGGCCATCTGTCACACACAGACTGAGGGATCCAGCCCTTATCCCAACAACCAAATATAGTCAACTAGAGCAGCAGAGCACACTGGGACTGATCCCTACTGTACCACAACCAACCTGGGTCACTCACTCGCAAATACCTACGACAGTAAAATATGACTGTTACCTTTTGTTAGCGAGAAACAGAAACATCCTTGCAAATCCGACCCACAATAGAGAAAGTTGTTCACTGTCTGCTGTGAGCTGCTGTTGAGCTACATGACATCCTTTCCTCACGTGTACCACCTTCAATTATTGTACACAAACATCTAACTGTATCTTGTTGTTTCTGTCTTTCTGTGTGTGTATTCAGAGTGTTGTTCGCTGCCTGTGGCACCCAAAACTCAACCAGATAATGGTGGGAACTAGTAATGGACTGGCCAAGGTCTACTATGATCCTGTCAAAAGCCACAGGTATGTGCGGTTTAGACATTTAGTTTGGTGCAATTTTATTTTATTTTTATTGACAACCATTGCCCTGAAGGGACTAAAACCAGCATTGCATTTATCCCATTAAAGTGTTGACTCTGTAGCCATAGACATGCCATAGAACTCTATTGTTAATCAAAAACTACTAAATGTGGATATAAGAGCAATTTATTCTTGTCAGCTTTTTCAAAGCAGCAAAAACAGAGACATGCAATGTGCCCAATGCAGAGGTATTAACTGATACTTGAAATGCTGTTGTCAGGTCGGCAGGAAAAAATATTATTCGACTCAAATGTTTGGAGATATTTGTCAAACTCAACATCTGTCTCTGTGCTAGTCAAAACAAATACCATAACTGAATCAGTCATTGTTGTTCCCAATGTCACTCAGTGCATCACTATGGCTCTTGTACGTCTTTTCCAGAGGGGCAAAACTGTGTGTAGTGAAGAGCCAGCGCAAAGAGAAACAAGCAGAGACACTAACACAAGATTACATCATCACACGTAAGTTCTCCATTCTCTGCACTTGCATACAGGCACACACACACACACATGCAGACGCAGACGCACATACACACACACACAGATGCAAATATTTTTTTATACATACCTTCTAAGGGTAATAGAGTTTGCCACTTAATGAACTTTGGTCCTTATTCTCTGCCCTCTTGCCTTTTTGTGCATGGCATGCCGTTTCACACATCACCTTTTAATCAGTAAACAGTTACTGAAGCAGTGAAGAGAAGTGGCTTTCTCAAAGCACTCTAGCAGTTTAGTTCATCTTGCTCAGCAGTGCTCTTCACATGATATGGCAGTGTGCCTTTTAATAGGCACCACCAAAACAGTGCCAGTCATTTTCCAAGTGCATGATGTGACAAGTGGAGCATATTCCACAGTTCGTTCTCAGACATAAAGAACAAAAAATACCAACCCTTTTTAGAATGCCAACTCTTTGCTGCTTCTCTCTTTGTAACACACACACACACACACACACACAAACATTCAAACACACTATCTCATACCGGTGGCTTTTTGAGGAATGAGAGTATTCAGTGCTTTCACAGGCCCATTAGCTGATGGAGTAGGGTGTGGATGAGTGGATGGACAGCCGCAGGGCACTGTGACACGCAACGGCCATGTGGTCTGCAGTCATGGTGGATCACGCTAGGAACAGCCACCTCTCCCACCTCTGCTGGCGTGATCTGCTGGTCCACACACACACACACACACACACACACACACACACACACACACAAACCACCCCCTACCTGTCATCCTGTCATATCACCAACACACGAGGCTGTCATCTCTTTTGTGCGTGTCTCACACTCCTTTGCCCCCAGACTAAAGTCATGAACCCACAGGGACTGAACAGCTGCCATCATGTCATCCCTGATTGGCTGCTAAGACCCAATTCAGACGCCATTTATTGTTTGGGCTGCTGCAGCCTTTTCAGATGCATCATGTGATTTCATTGCCATGCCAACAGGGTGTGAAGTAGGCAGGCATTTGACTGACACAAGCACGGAGTGACGCACTTGGTGCCCTGGCACTGGAAAATTAAAGGGGACAGGAAACAAGTGATGGCCCATTGAGAAAAGCGAGGGAATCTGTTAACAGTAACCTTTTTGCTTAATGTAGCGTGGAGGAGAAGAATTAACACTGAACAGCGACAGAGCTCCTGAATGGAAAATCACTTTATCTAGCCCTTTAAAAAAGTGTCTCTTTGTAACCCCTGAGGGTAAGAGCTGAGCACACACTCACTTTACACAAACACAAATGGTCACACACACACACACACACTCTCTCACTCTGCTTCTCACACACGTTTGAGGGCACTCATTCACACTTACTCATGCACACGTTCACTCGCACACTCATGGATTTAAGTGCTGGGGGCCTTTATTGTGATAGTGCTCACAAAAGTGTGAAGAGTGGCAAAGTAATTGTCTGAATCTAAACATGGGGGATATAATGAATATGTTGGTGTGCACTATGGCAGAAAGAGTACACAAGAGGAGAGACGCTGCCAGAGATTAACAGGTGTGTGTATTTTCACATAAACACAACGCATCCTCCGCAGGGTGTAGTAGTAGGTGAGATTGAGAGAATGCGTTTCTCCGCTTTCTGAAAATATTTATGAATCTCAGCTTCCCATCTCTGTCTTCATTCAGGGAAGTAATATACGTGGGATGCAAACACTGAACATTTTGCCAGGCGCCCTGCCTGCTTATTTGTTACGTGATCTTGTAGTTTGAGTTACCTAAGCAGCTTGATTATCCATGTTTACCCTGTGTGTCTCCAGCTCATGCCTTACCCATGTTCAGAGAGGCCCGACAGCGGAGTACACGGAAACAGCTGGAGAAGGACAGACTTGACCCCAAGAAGTCCCACAAACCCGAGCCGCCTGTGTCTGGACCAGGTAAAGTGCATTTGTTTTTGTTTTGTTTTGTTCTTGCTTTTATTAGTGCAAAACATTTAAAACCAATAAAGTAACAAAAACTGACAAAAGAGTAACAAGAAAAAAAAGATATAGTATCTATAGTCTATGATCCTGGTCATTTAAATATGAGTAAATTAGCAAGGTATTGCTACAGCTCTGCTTTTGTTTTTGCAGTGTATTATTAGTCATGTTTGTAAGTGAATGAATACACGTTTGTGTTTGAGGCAGATGTACAAATCCACAGTTGTTGATGTGTTCAGTATTATGCAATCCAGCTGAAGCCAAGAGTTATAACAGCACTGCTCCCACTTGGCCCCTCAAAGACTCATTGTAGCCTGCTGTTGCCTCATATTTTTTAATTGCTAGGATATCATGATGCATTGTGAACTTTCTCCAGAACCCGTCATTGATGTGTTTATGTTCATACTGTAATACACACATCCACACCTACACATTATCATAGATACAGTTTGAGCTCTGTTCCAATAAGCCAAGGCTCCAGACAACATTTCCTGCTTCATTGTGTTCCAGATGGCTCATTGCCACCATGTTTGGTTGTGTCTTTTCACTTTTACTGTTTTTTCACTTAATCCTTCAGTACAATGTTCTTACAACAATCTAATGGTTCCACTGTGAAATAAAGTGCACTTTTTATTCTCACATTCAGATTGAAAAAACAGGTTTAAACATGTTATGGAAGTTATGGAACATACAAAAAGTAGCCAAATTTTAAAAGGGGAATTATGAAAAATCTTATGATATAAGAAACTTACTACAGAACTATTAAAAAAAAGTCTCCCAAGGCAAATAAAATGTTTTCAAAGGAAGCTGTTTTATTTTACTGTTCTAAGTTGTGTAAGTAAAAAAACAAGTTACATACATTATGTATAGAGTAAAAGACTTTATAGCTAAACAACACTGCACAGCTAAATGACACTAATTAAAAATTAGAGTAGCACAATGGTTTTGGATGATATTGTATACAAGTATGGAAACGTAGAGTCACAGAGGTTGAGAGGATGGCAGAAAAGTAAATTGAACAGTCAGCAAATTAAAATTTAGGTCGCTTTCATGAAAGTAAGTTTGACTACTTGATAGCAGGCCAGTGGTTTTTAGATGACAGGCTGTCTGTATATTGTTTATTCTCTGTGTGAATTGACTTGCATAAGTGCAAGGTAATGCTGGTGGTTGGCTGAATGCTTACAAGCAATGGAAAGAAGTGCCTCTCAATCCCCAAACAATCCCACTGCCCAACTACAGCAGGAAATCCCTGTGTCTCTAAGTATGTGAATGTCCATGTGTTTGTGTGTGTGTCTACCTTAACCTTGATCTTTTAAGACAACCGTAATAATGTCCTCTCTGGAAAGCAGGAAGGTTTTTCCCCCCAAAAGCTCCATTAAGTGCAGTCAAGTCCAGCCAGCAGCACAGACGTACTGTAACTACAGCAGAGATCACTGAGGCTTTTATGCACTGCTTTCTGAGACCGGAATGGAATAACTGTACAAAACAGAACATGCCCAAAGTAATAAAAAGCTCATAATGTGATAACCTGCTGCTATAGTATAAAGTATTGGTAACATTTTTATGAAAAATATAATACAGTGTCATGCAAAGTAATAAATTAAAATGAAATACTTTAGTGGATGTCAGTACTTCAGAAGTGAATTTAAACAGATCACTAATGCATTTGTTGTTCAACACTTTTCTCTTTGATGCTTAATCATGATACAGGGAATAGTAGATTATGGTAGATTAGCAGATGATGACATCATCTGGTTGACCAGTAGCAGACTGTACTTCACTAGTAAATGTGAGGCCTCACACTGAGTTGAGTTTTGGTAATATTTCAGTTCTACTTTATTTATAACATCAGGAGTTTTTTTTTAAGAGGTCCAGTAGTGTGTGTTGAAGCTTTTAGTTCAAAATAGAATCGAGGTGTTTAACTGTATGTTTGCGTTTGTTGGTAACATAGCACATCATATTGAAGTCATGCACTTTGTTCCCACATTGAAAAATTTAGTCATCCAACATTACACAGGGGTGTTTTTCTCTGTACATAAATTTTAACCGAAACTAATTCAGTGACCATGTGTGCTGACAGGTCGTGGAGGCAGAGTAGCAGCTCATGGTGGCACTCTGTCTTCATTCATCGTGAAGAACATCGCTTTAGATAAAACAGATGACAGCAACCCACGAGAGGCTATCCTACGTCACGCCAAGGACGCTTCAGAGAACCCTTACTGGGTTGCTCCGGCATACACACAGTAAGAAAACCTCATATCTTCATTTGTAAAAATATGAATCATCCACACGATCTCTGTCCACCTCACTGTTTCTCTCTTCCTCACTCACTCATCTTCTCTCATTGCTGGGCTTCCTCTCATTAGCAGACGGTGTAAGCTGAGCACTGGGAGTGCGGCTCATGGTGTTGTGATAGTACTTGGGTTTCTTCCTACTGATGTGACACATAAATGTTTAAAGAGCTGTACAGTTTTACAGGTACAACGAGAGTAATGGACAACTTTAGATCACAATCAGACTCGGACAGCTATGTAAGCATGGAACAAAGCTATGAGCCAAACCAAACAGTCTGTTTCACATACAATGCTGCAAGCAAGCTATTTTTAGTTCAACATACTGATGATGTACATTGTAGTAGATAAATCAGATGACATACACCATTGGGGACAGAGCTCGCTCTCTCCCAGGCAGTAGACTAATGGTCACTATCATGGCTCTCTTTGCTGGGAGACATTAACGTTTTTAATGAAACAAGTTAATTCTGCTGAGGAACAGCACCGTGAAAAGCAGGGCTAGAGTGGGTCTGAGTTCCTGTCCAGTCCCCTGCTTCATGTAACATCTGCAGCGTTCATCCTCAGTTGGCCTGTATAGAAGAAATTATGTCTGAAACAATAAAATTATATTATCTAACTTCTTAAAGCCCTGTCATCTGGTTATTGTCTTTTGATTTACAGTTCATTTGGTTTGGAGTTGTTAACTCATTGCTTGCTTTTGTGAATCCCTTTAGGACCCAGCCAGAGCCTGTATTTGCAGAGGAATCAGAGGAGGATGAGGAAGCTGACAAGGAACCAGAGTGGAAGAAACGCAAGATCTGAAAGGTTTCAACAGCAGCTCATTTTATATCAGATATTTGACAGTGTGCGTTTGTGGTTGGTATTTTCAGCACCGTAACCACGAGGTCTCAGGACCAATCCCAGAATATTGAGTTACTGTCAGGAACTCCGCATAGAAGCATCAATTAAATGACTAAATTGTACAGTCTCTGTCCTTCCTCCTGGAATTTGTTTTTAAGTGTATATGTATTTATATGCATGCCTCTGTGTTAAGGGGAAGCATATAAATGTGCAGGCATTTTAACTCTGCAAGCATAATATAATTTTATACAGGTTTATTTTCCCTTTTATTGCAATTTATCAAACCACTGGAAGAATTTGGGTTTTTATGTTTGTTTTGATTGTATGGACTTTATTTGCATCATTTCTATTGGCCTCTCCTCCCACATCTCCAGAGTTTGCTAATGCCTCATAAATCAGCTCCAGATTTTGTGGTCTGGTTCTGTTCACCAGCTATGAAGTTTGCTATTTTGTAAAAAGTAAATTGCAAAGAAATACAACATTTTTTGCCTGTTTTACTTTGGATCTTTTTTTTTTTTTTTTCTACATACTGTATTATACCTTGGGAATTACATAAAGGAATTTGTATTCTCTTGTCAAAGAGTGATACATTTTATCCAAAGTGAAGTCTGGAGTGACAGATCTGTTTTTACCAGCTGATCAAAGGGATTCTTCTGCCAAATATCTTTTTTTTTTTTAAAAGGCACTAACTCAAACCTACAGATACACAGTACACCCCAATCTGGTCAAAGCTGCTGTTTTGACTCACTGCTTTAAATACAGTATTTACAGGCTACTTTTTGCACAGATATTGACACTGATTAATCAAGGTTTTGTTTAGAATTCAATTCTACCAATTCTAATTCCAAATTATCTCAAAGTGTCCTTACTAGCATTTTCTGTAGTTTTCAACCACATCTCAGTCTTCCTTAAGTTTGAAAGTTTGCTTAGTTGACAGCTTTAATTTGCTGATAAAGACTATGAACCTTGAGTTAACATTATAAAATTAACTTGGAAGGTTTAGAATGAGGTTTCACGCTCAAACTCCAGTACCAAATTGCATCATATTTCTAAGGGGTCCGGTTGCTTTCATACCTAACTGCATAAGATTAAACGTAGGTGTGGCCACAGGCATACATTGTGTTTCTTGTCTGTGCAAAAACAATAAAAATCCAGAATTTCTTCATTCACTTCAATTTCTATTGACTCCCTGGAATGACCTGTACAGTGTCAATAAATATTTTAGCTGACAGAGAAAACCACATGCAGATCTAATGAAACCCATGTTTGTGTTCTTTACACATCTCTCCAGAATGTAACCTCTGCACACAACATGTACGTGGTCTTTGTTTTTCAAGGACAACAAGTCACATGGTTGGTGTCTGTTTACAAATTTTGAATTGTACTGACATGATGACGAAAGCGTCTACTGATCTCTGATGTTACCTTCTACCGTAAAGACACGGAAAGCCTTAACACTCCATATCTGCCATTTAGCTGGCGTTTACAGTCAGTGACTTCTTCAACAATCTTCTGTCATTCCTTTCCAACCAAAATTACAAGCAGACAACTGAATGTCTCAGTGTCCTGGAAAACATGCTGTGGCCATAAAATCACTAAGAGACAAAGAAATACCAGGACAAGAAATATGGGAGGACTGAAATAATGAGTGATGTTTTAAAGAGCAAACGAAACTGGAGAGGAGAAGAGATTTGCTTCATGGGGGAGAAGCTGACCTCAAGCTCTTCTTCATCACCAAGTAATGAATCAGTTGGCACGAGGAAAGCAGAAGCTGACCAGGGTCAGTTCACCCAAATTAGAAAAACATTTTCTCTCATGGTCTGTTTATCTCTAACACACAGGAGATGAGAGCTACTTTTTCTGTTGTTCAAATCATTAAAAAGTTGTATTAAAGTCATACTGATGACACAACCTTTAAAAACAGGGAAAGAATATATACTTTCATATAAGAGAAAAAGACTAAATCATTCCCTGTAACAGATGGGCACTGCCATTTTCAGCACTCAAAACACAAGTAATAGTATTTACAGCAGCAGGAAGGTGTGTGGGGTTGACTTAAACCAAGCTACAGTGCCATAGGAAAGAAAGATTGTGTTACACAGTGCAGCGATGGGGTTCAGTGATATGTTTTTGACAGTTTTTGGATGGGATGGTGGTCTATGGCGCAGAGAAATAAGATGCTGTATACAGTATAACGCTTTGGCTACATGGAGTAAAATAAGTTTTGTAGTTTTCATGGAATTTGTTGACAGAAAAATATGCAGTTTCATGATACTCATCCTTTGGGTCACACAAATGAGGATGAAAACAGTTTGATTTGACCAAGTATTTTCACAGATTTAAATGCTGCATCATTTTAATGGTCAGTATTTTGAGGCTTTGCAAATTAACCCAAAACAGCTCTTGTAGTACCTCGGCTAACTCACCTTGAGCCCCCGCGTAATGACTCACTGTCTGCACCTCTGCATTTACATATCTTCTTTGCACAGTGGAAACATTCTGGAGCGCCTTGATTTACAGCTCAGTGGCGCTTTACTGCTCGCTTTTGTTTACTGTACGACCCTGGGCTGGTGTTCAGGAATGCAGAACAGGAGGGGACGCCACACGGCCGAGGCCATCTCTCAAGCCATCCTCACAATTCTCCGTTTCACCCAGATTTTCATCCCCAATTTTTTTTTTTTTTTTTTACATGATGCTTGTGTAAATACATCCCAGGCAAATTAGCACCATCTGGCACCGGTGGATTATTGTACATGGCAGAATACCAGGAGACACGCTCATTTAATAGAAACAAGTTTAATTCTGTAAAAAGTTATAAAATGAATATTGTACAAAAATAAAGTTTGCCGAGAGCTTTGGTTCTGTAACACAAAACAAGTGAGACGACATGACAGGTTTTTTTTTTTTCACAGAGGTGTTAACACAATGAGGAGTGAAAACAAATGCAATCCTTTCTTCTAATATTAACACTGAGGATTCCTTCGCATCTTTACCTTTTGCTTGTTTACCTTGCATCAAAACCGGAGGACTAATCGCCAAGGAACAGTTGAGCAAACAGTAATGAAGATGAGAGGGCAAGTGGTCACAGTTTACACACTTTAATGTATGGTACTGAGGAGTGGCTAGGTGCTCCCGAGGCTTCTGGGAAGTCTCCTAACTGCACATTCTCATCTGGAAAGGCTTATGCACAAATCAGTTGTTAAAGGGGAAGATGATCCAATTGATGAGGTATGCTGTGATAAAAGCTAGAGTTTTTTTTTTTTTTTTCCTCTCCGTGTAGTGTTTGGCCTAAATTCAGCTTGATGCAGTGGATTTGTTCTGTGTGCAGAGGGATTACACAGTAAAGCTGGCTTGCTTGCTGCTGGGTGGGCACAGATACCTTGGTCCCTAATCCGCGCTAACATCAAGACCTACCCGAGGGCTCTCTTTGTTCCACTTAAAACGATCCCCCTCGCAGGGTCTCGATGGGCACAGCAACATGCTTTATAGAAAGGGCCTCCTGTTTTCCTGGATGCACGTTTCTGCTATACTTTGGGAATAAACTTGGCTGAACAAGTGATTACATGTAGAAAGCGTGCTGAACCTACCCATCCTCTTCATACTCTTTTGTTGAAACGTCTAGGCTTCAGATATTTACATCAGCTTCTCAATGACAGCCGCTACAGTAGCTAGATCTTCCTTAAACTACCTTCACCAAAATGCTTTTGCCAGCGGGGATATTTGGTTAAGACTCATGTTAGAGGATCACTTTCAAATCCCCTTTCAGGGAGCAAGACCCGTCTGTCAGAGCCGAGACAGAAACACAGGCAGTCCCGTGAACTTTAAAGCCTATTGGGACAGTAACCACTGCAAAGCCTTTGCTCAGACTTGGTGCCATGCCAGAGTGAGGTTTCGGGTAACGTTTGCTGATAGGCAGGTATTCTAGCAGCTTCTGTACTCTGTGACTCAAAGGATAGATCCTCAAAGGCACCTACAGATCCTCAGAGAGACTACGACTCTCTTAGATTTTCTTTCAACTCAAAAGACTTGACGGCTCCTGTTTGGAGTGACACTGAATCTACTCCTGATTAGTAATTTGAAAATCACTTTGAAAATAAACAGCAGCAAAAAGTTGTTTGCCTCCTTGTAAACATACAGTAAAAATGTCATAGTTGGATCAGTCTGTACCCAGGTGCCATAAGGAGAGACACACCAACTTGGCGTGGTCACATTAGTGAAAATGAGGTGAAAAACAAATCTACCCTGCCCTCCCTCCAAACACTCCAAAACAACAGATCACTTCAATCAAAAATCTTGTATTGGTCCCCTCTGCTGTGTCTCTTTCTTCACTCCTTTGACTTGATGGCTGAAGATGTTTTTTTTTTTTTTTTTTCTTTTTGGACTCATGAACTGAGAAATCCTGGAATCTAAGTGAAGCCCATAAGCACTATTAGGGTGTGTGTGTGTGTAGCTGTTGTGGATCGCCTTGTAAGATTTTGCATGAGAAAATGCTCCACTTTGGCACCATCCAGGACAAACAAAGCTTTTTAAATAAATAAGAAACATGACAATTTCTTTCATAAAATGGATTGAAATAAATAACAATAAGTTAATTCCATCTTAATAAATATACCTCTTACACACACGTGTATATATATATATTTATATATATATAGATATATATATATGAATGGATTTTATGTTGATGTGTTGCACCAAAAAAACATCGTTGCTGAACCCTGGTGTGGTATTTCTCATCACTTGGCTCTGAATGTAAATGTCAACAACCAGACTATGCAGTGGAAGTGATTTAGACCGCAGCTGAATATACTCCTCACGTCTCTGCGTTCGTCTGCAGTCTAAGGAGCCAGCCATGGAAAAACTGATGTTCCTGGGAAAATGGATTCTTCCACAAAAAAAAAAAAAGCAAACAAGCCAACCAAAGTTTTTCTTCACTCTCACCTTTTTAGACAACACAGTTAGCAAATCTGGAAGTGTAACAGTATTGATTCTTCCCCAAATTGGTGCACACTTTCTGCATGTGTCTGACTGAGCAGTCAAATACTGGTCAAAGGATCTGGAGTACTGAGTGTGAACTGTCAAAAGTTAAATGTACAGAATTCTCCTTCGATGATACACTTCCTTTTTTTGACCTCATATGCCCGTTTCCAACAGCGATCCCTCCCTTTGCAGTACCAGCTTGTAAAGGTGATCCTTAGTTCACTGTTGCTGGATGATGTCCGTCCGTGTGACTTCCTCAGACACAGCCACACTTCCTGGCAGAATGCTTCTTCAGTGTGTGATACACCACATTGTCATCCAGGAAAGATAAGTCATCGTCGAATGCGATTGGTCGACAGCAAGTGCGGGAGGGCGTGTCTTTGTCCAGCTTCTTGTTGTGTGTGAGGTTGTTCAGGATCTTGTCATAGTTGGTCTCCGCCTCCACGCAGGGGCCGCTGCAGTACCGGAAGATCAGCTCCTCTTTAGTCTGGTAGCCCAGCCCCAAGTCCGTCACATTGAGATGGACCTCCTTCAGCAAGCAGCCTCGACTCTGCACCGATATCCTCTCCCTCCCCCTCTCGCCTCTGCCCCCTTTACCGCCTCGGCTTCCCCCTCGCCCCCGTCCCCGCCTCCTGTCGCCATGTTCTCTCCCCTCACCCCTCGTGCCTCCCGTGTTTGCTGCTCCCCTCTGTCTCTGCTCCCTCCGTCCCCTGGAGCCCCCGTTGGGCTCTGATGATCTCCGGAGTCTGCCAATGGTAGCCTCGATAAAATCCATTACATCATCAAACTGATCTGGATAGGGACCTGTGATGTCATCTGGAAGACACAGAAGGAGCAGATTCAGTTCAAATGTTATCACTGACATGGACACTAAAGAACAGCTTTCTGAAATGTCACCTCCTGAACATTACTCAGAAACATGCTAATCTAAGATTTACTGTTTCCAGAGGATACACTGTGCGAGCAGATAAGATAAAGCTGTGAAGACGGTGGTGCGTCAACAAGAAGCGCCTTTGCTCTCCCCAGTGCTGGATACTCAGGCTGTTTTATCTAATGCTGTGCACACTTGTACAGTGACAATAAACAATCGTTCATTCGTTCATGAAAACATGTTTGCATATAAGTCAGAAATGATGCTTATGATGGCGGGAAAATCACATCACATTATGAATGAATGGAT